ATATATTCATTATTATTTAGGAATAAAACCCTCATATATATATATGTGTGAACTGATTTAAGCCAAAAAAAAAGCATTAGCTGTTTGTTTTGGCAGTAGAGTAGTAATAGGATTTTGGGTGCTTCACCTCACTCAGGGACCTTTGGTACTGAACATAGACTGGTTATGCTGCTCGCTGATAAAAGAAACATGTTTCTGCTGTTACCTCACATAAAAATATATCTGTCTATCTATATAGATTGATAGATGGATAGATAGATGGATGGATAGATATACTGATATGTGGCAGTGGAGGTATCCTTAACTTTAACTTTTGTCTATTTCATGTTAGAAATGATTAATTTTTAAAAACTGTTTAAAAAAAATAATTTAAAGTTTATTCTTTAAACCCTACCTTCCCTGAGTGGTTTTTGCCTTCTGGGCTACTGCAGAGTCATGGGGCTACAACATGGGGAGGATGCGTGAAACTGTCTGCTCTCAGTGTGTAGACGGGAATAAAAACCCTCATACTTCCAACTGTGCATGGACTGACAAAAAAATCTCCTGTAAACCCTTTGGGATATTTTTTTGCTCAGCAGTTACCATTTACAAATTTGCTGTGGATCTGTGTTTGACTTTTCTCTTTGTGATGTTCAGGTCATGTGATGGTGAATGGACCAACTACACCCATTCCTGTCAAGGCTAAGCCGTCCTCCATAGACCCTGTCGTCCCTGCTGTCACTATGGGTAAGTCGAGCAGAGACAAAATTGCAGTGCACAGATGTAGCTAATTCCGTCTGTTTTTAGCGGGCGCACACTGTGAAAGATGCAAAGAGTGAGTACAAGCAGGGATGACTGTTGAGAAGAAAGTGGAGTGTTTCTAACATTAGTCATAGATTAACTACCATCAGCCAATGCCTCACTGTCGTTGCATCTATTTCACTCGGTCTAATTTTGCAGGGCGCTGTCACTGCAAGAATGAGGGGTTTCTTTTTACCCAGGAGCTCCAATGCTAAAAATGTAAATACTTGTGGACCCTTTAGGCACTTTTGTTAAAAGCACCCACCAGAATGATAAATGGGCTGTCGAATACTCTGATAGCTGTAGGCGAAAAGGCTTTCCTAAATGGCTCAGTTTAGCACTCTGGGAGGAAAAAAGGTTTTGGCCCAGAGTGCTCTGTTGAGCTGTGAGCACAGTAGTAAGAGGATGCAGCCTTGTTGTTTGTCAAGGTAGAGGTTCTCTGCTCGTCACCATGCCCAGCAACATTTACCTTGGAGTCGTGTAGAAGCACTGTATGGATAACCTAAGTTTTTAAACTGGCTAAGCTACAGTACACAAGGTGGTTCTTTACACAGGACATGCTTTTGCTGTAGTACAAATTTTAAACCACCTATTTGCATTCGGCCATTTTCTAAGAGCTCATATGCTTCTTTAGCCTTTGGGTAAAAGGAGTTCATCGTTTGCTCCCTGTAGCATTTGAATATGTTAGGATTACATTTTTTTCTGAAAAGCACACAGTCACAAATATGTGAAAATAATTAGATTCAAATTTTAAACACTTCTTTATGCAGAATGACCAGCACTGTACATTTATTTTCTACCGTCCATCCACTTATCATTGCTGTTAAACACAGTCGACACATATGTTGTTTTTTGCACACAATGCATGAAATGAAAATGCCATCATGTGTCAAAATATCAAGCCTAAAATACCACCTGACCACTCAGCATGTGTGTGTGGAGGCTTCAGCTTCAGCTCAAATGTCCAACTTGACACAGAGCAACTTCAACCTGAGCACAGGGCAGTAAGTTGGTCCATGACTGACAAGCAGACTGACACAGTTGTCAAGGGGATTGCAGGGAACTGATTGATATTGTTGAGAACAACCGCTTCACCACACCTTTGAAAGCAACTCTGGATGCATTCTCTAAGCCAAAGTCAAGATACAAAATAATGACTTCAATCCAGCAACTCTATGAGGCCAAATATTTATATTTTATATTTACTTCTTTATATCATTTGTAATGAAGTGCTTTCTTTTGTGGCTCAGTTTTGAACTCACTGGTCAATATTGTGTAAATGCCATTGCATGAAAATGACCTTAAGGCGACAGATGCCAAGTGTCTTATTGTCTCAGTTAATCCTTAAAGGTTGAGCTGAGCCTTTATTTAGATGAGATACTCTTTTTTTGGTGATATGCCCCATTACCTTGCACAAGTTTTAAAGCAGAATGTGGTCTTAACCAACCAGCCTGCTTCATGTGACTCCATGTGTCGGTCCTTATTGTTGTTTTCTCGGCGTGCACCTTTTGCTCTCCCGCCGTGCGGCGGGGTTTATTTTTGCAAGGTGTGCAAACTGGCGTGAAATGCCACAGCTGCCGCTTCTGACAGTGGCAAAAAAACAGTCAGCTGCATTTATCTGACATGATCATCGGCATGTTGTTCTGCATCAGCATATACAACGGTGCGCAAGGTAAACACAAATTTATAACAAAATATTGTGAATAATATGAATGATAATCAGGCATAACTGATCAAATCTGGCATCTAAAAACTGTGCAGAGTGAATTGAAATGAGTTGAAACGGAGAAAATAATCGTCAGTCTTTGTGTACATCTAAATGCTAATGTCTCACAACTTGTCTCACGCTTATGCAAATTTGATGTTTAAAGCCATTATTGTCTGCCAATCTCGTCCCAGAAAGGGGAAAACAAGATTTACATCTTAAACTCCATAGGCAAACATCATCTGTGCCTCACATTCCTACAGTAAGCAGATGATGAGGTAGTTATATGTAGTTAAGCACACACGGGCAAGGACTCATACCTAAAGCCTAGTAATGAGATTTGTAATGTGCTTATATCCTTTCTTTCATTCATGGAGGATTGAGAGGAGAGAGGGATTAGAGTTGCATTATCACAGTGTGTGGAGGTGGGGAGTGGGGGGGCAGAAGGTGAATGAGGTTATGAGAGCAGGGGGGGGGCTTTGGTCAGTGTTCCCTCCCTGTGTGCAGAGAGAACCATTGGGATGACACAGTGTCAGGCACAGAGTGATATACGGAAAGATAACCGATGAGATGGATTATTACCAGGAGAATGTCAAACGGAGTAGGACTGACTGTTACTGTGCACCGCCCACAGATGGGAGAAAGCACAAAGATTAGAATGAAATAGTGATAGTTCAAAATGTCTGGTATTAATAATGCAAAAGACAAAGACTGACGGTCAATGTTGTAGACGATGCCTTCCCCCACAACCAAAAAGAGAAGGGAAGAAAATGATTCCTCTAGGACAGGACCAGGATGTTGTTCCAGAACCTGTTATGGACTTAAAGGCCATTATTTCTTAATTAGGATTTGTAGGGTAAGACATTTTCTCTGAAGGCTGATGGCTACTCCACTGATGGTGTAAAAGTACACCTTGTGTTAATTATCATCTGAGCTTTGTTAATGGAGGACATCTAGATGTCAATCACCAGATGCCTGGCAGTTAGCTTTAGAAAGAATGACTAATAAAATCATCCTTTCCTCCTGTGCACAGTTATGGTTTTTTCCTGGGATGACTGACAAGTCAATTCAGGCATGACGTTTTAACCCACCTCTTTGGCAAACAGTTTAATTCTCAGTGGTTTATTTTCCTTTTTATTTATTTATTTATTTGTCTCTGGACGACTTCAACGATTTATGTCCAAAAACTTTATTTTCTGGGTGACTTCAAAATGAGTGAAGGCTTTTGAAATATGCAAATGGAATTTTCTTTCAGTTGTAGTCACAGCAGGGACATTTGCTTGTTCTTTGTTTGTTGGTCCAACACGTGCTCACAGATAAAGCTCTTTCAAAACATTACCCACCAGACAGAGGTGGTTAAATTAAATTACTTTTGAACAGTTATCTAAAAGCTAAACCACTTTTTTTTTCAGTCAGGTCAGTGAAAAGGACACTAGTAGCAGATATGTATAAGCTGTCCATTTGTCCTTGCAACACATATTGTGGCAATATTTCTTATTTGTTTTTCCATGAGTATTTTAACAGTGTCTCTACTGTGGACAGAGGAAATAATCTAGAAATATATTTTTGTTGGTTAGTTTTAGGGATCACAAATTTGATTATTTGAGAACTAATAATCAAAAGTATTTACCTTTATGAACTTAACACACGTATTAGTATTTTAAAGGCTTTTATGAAGACATATTGTCACTGTAAGTCACCCATGTCCCTACAGTTTTTCGGACCCCAGGAGTCATATGGTGGATGGAAATGAACAAATCTGTGAGCATAAACTTGGTATCATAATAAATGTTACTTTTGGGATATGTCCTAGGAGCAGGAAGCATCAGAGCAGATACCTTTGTGTCGCATATAGAAAACATGGGATTGATAAGAAAAACTGTAGATCATGTCAAACTGCTGAAGTGAAGCAGAGCAAAATTATGGAAGTTTTTGGACTGTCTCTAAGTCTCTCATTTGAAATGTTTCTCTACATCAACATGTTTGACATATACAGTAAAGGTCCTGGGGGGCAGATGTCTGCTCAGGCCACCTCTGGGGTGGCTGTATTTACTCTGAGATTGTCTCCACAGATTGCACATAAAGGAATACCTGAGCACAACAGCTGTCTCTCTGTTCAGTCACATCAGCTGGTACTGTGGAGCTGATGGGGAAGAAAAGCAGTGTGAACAGAGGATCAGGCAGGAGAAGAATGTTGTGGCAAAGTGTGTGAGTCCACATCTGGCATGAAATGAAGTGAGGCCAGAGAAGCTGCACACTGACAGGAAGGTGCTTTCAGTGCAAAGGAACAGGTCTCTGTTTTTCCTATAAATGGGTCAGCTGTCGAGCTGCAACAGCCACATGGGACTTGTGTCTGCTAATTCTTGACGTGCACTTACACAGAAATATGCAATTTTTCTTTAGTATAACGTCCCATTCATAAGACACTTAAGTCCCACGACGAATGCCCTCCTTTTCCTCACAATGGTGTCGAGGTGTATCTCTGCAAAGTTAGCAACACCACGTGTTCCTGAAGAACAAGAGCCGTGAGAATGCACGTTATGCCTGCAAGCACATCAGTGTTGTGTCTTTCATAGTTCACTCCATTAAACACTGGATGAGTTCAGGGTGTCTGTAGCTGTTTGCCTCGCCAACATGATTCCACAAAGCTCTCATTTGCATGTTTGGACAAATGTGTTTTTGTTTGTGCCGAGGTGTGTGTAGTTAACTCGGCCTATGATGGCCTCAAAGACAATTACGACAGAGGTGATTTGTTTTCAGGGATGAGATGCAACAATGAAAGGTCAAGAGTGTGAATATTCAACTGCAGAGTGAGAGAGGAGAAAGGGAAGGGAAGGGGTGGAGCGATGGGTTGAAGGACAACTAGGAAGGCAGAGTGAGCCTCATTAACTAATCTAATTGATTGATGGCTCTACACACACTAACAAAAATAGATCTCAGTGTAGCTTCCAACATTTCGTTGGCTGTGTTTGTGTTTAATTATGATGGAGGGAAAATAACATTAAAGGCCTATTTGTCTTCCATTTGAGGACCATTCCACTTGTATATGCAGTAATGTCCACATTGGTCTGTTTTAGAAATTCTTTTAGGATTCTCTGGTGAAGGCTTTTATTACTGATGATACACTTTGTTACCGCATATGATGTTACAGTCTTAAAAGCAAACCAGAAACTCATCGCGTACAGACACCACCAATCTTCATCCCGGGCTCCTCTGGGAGTACGACAGCGAGCTATCAGATAATGGCTCTTTGTTAGCAGACATTACTCTTGTCTTATTTTGAGCCACACTAGCTGCATGGCTCCGTGAATGGCAACACTTTGTTCTTGACGGAAATATCCTACACGATGTTGGATAGTGTGCAATCAAATTCTGCTCTCTTACCAGAAGATAAACCACCCACACAGTTATGGCTCAGACATTATTGAGAGGTGTTTCTCACGAGTATGGAATATTTTAGCCCCTGTTAGAAACACACACATTGTAATTCAAAACATTTAGGAGTCAAGAACCATATACTACAAATCTTTGAAGTACATGTACACAATGTCGCTATCTGTGTATTTTCCACAGCCGTGGAAAGACTTAAAATGTTCTAATTTACTACACCAGGGTGTCAAACTCATATTCACTGGGGGCCACATCATCAATACAGTTCCCCTTGAAGGGCCAGTTGTAAATGGAAGACTGTATAGATCAGGGGTCCCCAACCCCTGGTCCGCGGACCAGTATCGATCCATAGGTCATTTGGCCGTAGTGGGACACAGTGAAAAAATGTACTTAATTTTTACTAATTTACTTCATTCAAAGAAAGTCCAGTTAAATTCATTTACTTTCTTTATTTAAGATAATATGGCAATATTTTAAAATTGTGTCATTCGGACTCTAATACAAACAGAATTAAGTATACAAGATGTTTTATTTTCCTTCAATTCTCAGCACCTTGGTAACAGACTGTAGTAATGGGTGGAACTGGATGACCAGTCCTTGGAACAAAAAAGGTTGGGGACTGCTGGTATAGATGTAACTACTCCATAACATACATGTTTCTGTAATTGTTTATTATTTGATTGATTGTAAAAACGTATAATTTATCAGGTTAAGAGTAAACGCTGTTCTCTGTGTTTATACAGCCAGGTCTGTATGAGACACTGTGCAAAGCCAATCAATTCTCGTAAGTGGATGCTGTGTGTGTGTTAAAACGACCAGCTACTTCATAAATGTTTCTATAATCTTTTTTAAATGGGTTAAGCATAGTTGAAGAAGCAATGAAAGCGTTGCACAGTCACCTCATTAGCACAGGTCATGTCAACCATCAGACTATTAACAACACAAATTAAGGCCACTGTAAATTAGACTAGTTTCACTGTTCTGTGAAGTTGTGTAAAAACATTGGATGACATTTATATAGGCTGACAATACACAGCTGTAGAGTTAAGTTAAAACAGATTCAAGTTCATTGGAAAAAAAAAGACTGAACACAAACATTTGTAGTAGCAGTTCTACCAGAGACATACAGCATGTGTAGTTTTTGTCATTTTCAGATATTCTACAGTCATATCTTCCGTCTTCCTTTGAATAAACAATTTGTTGAATATGGTAAAACATTACTAACATTAAGTAATTCTTAAGCCAACAGTATTGATTTCTCACGGACTGCTGAGCCATGAATAAACATAAGATTTTGCTGCTATTAAAGCACTACATTATACCGACTATTGACTTTCTTCGTCTCCTGCTCCATTATAGGCGACCCCCCGGTGGGTTTCCGTGATGTGTTGCTGCGCGATGGTCCTGAGGGATTTGCCAAGGCTGTCCGTGCCCACAAAGGTCTCCTGCTTATGGACACTACATTCAGGGATGCTCATCAGTCGCTGCTGGCTACGAGAGTTCGCACCCATGACCTGAAGAAGATCTCACCGTTTGTCAGCCATAACTTCAGTAATCTTTTCAGCCTGGAGAACTGGGGAGGTAGGTGTCAGTATTTTGAAAATATGTCTCAACTGACTCAACCTCAGAGCTTGATAAAAGATGAAAAATTCATGGGGAAAATGTTTACCAACCTTCTATTTTATTTTTGTGTTTGTAACATTTTCCCCCAAATTTTAGATTTTACTCAGTTGCCTGTGTCTGTGATCTTCCCAGAAAAGCAAATAGGCATTCAATTTTCATACACTGGGTAGGAACACAACCAGGCAGTTTTAAGAATACATTTTTAATGTGCCACAAATACAAGTAAAACTGAAAAAAAGGGGGGCTGTGGTTCTTCTACTTCTTTTTCTGTCAGTGAAATAATGACTTCTTTCATCTTCATTTGTCATCTTCTGCCTTCAACAGGATCTTAGCTTCTTTAGCTGAGAAATTACTGATTTTTATGAGACCAAAGACCACATGTAGGTCACAACTGGTAAGCAGCTCTGTAAAAATGTAAACTCGTCTTTAAACAGCTGTAGGTAACCATTATTCCCCTTTTTTAGCCTTACGGCCAGCTCAAAGGTTAAATGAAATACAACGGTAAAAACAAAAGGCAAAAATCATACAGACATGCAATTACCCAATGCTGTCTGTCACCGAAGACCAGTGTAGTTCATTTCTTCAAGGGGTGCCCATGTTAATTGGCCACATTCATCCCTGTGTCAGAATGACCCATCACTTACATTTCATTGTCTCCCTCTTGCACCTCGGGTCATGTTTAATTGATGACACTGTTTGTCTCTCACTGTTCGGCTGTGTCAGCTGTGACAGTGATGTGTGAACGCGTGAAGATGAATCGCAAAGCTCCATCTCAGTCCTCCAATCAATAGAAACTGATTGTAACTTCTGCTCTCGCGTGGGCAAGGAAAATTACATGCTATTTAAACTGTTTGAAGCATGAAAGTCTAATAATGTCTTTGTGTAATATCCAATTACTCCGAAACTGTCCAGAGAAAGGAGAAAATACCGAGGCCACGTGTTCAAACAGTCGTCAATGAAAGACCAATTATCAGCACTTCTGGCCTTATGTGAAGTGCATTTGTTAGGGTTTGTTTTCAAAGGATAAAATTCAATTTTTCCCATTTAACACTCCAGCACTTCAAACGTGCACATTTATGGAAGAGATAACACCCCATGCACCCACTTGACGATGAGACTTTTCATTTTCTGCTCAGTTACAGCAAAAATTGTGATTGTTCTTAAATTACTGGGAATGCTTTGAGGATATCACAAGTGGAAACATAAGAACCAAACAACAAACGCCTCAAGCAAGAAGGGCCCTGGTTTCATGTAGCGTCCAGTGAAGCCTCTGTGAGATTAAATTGCTGCTCATAGCTGATCAGGATGCACATGTTACAGGGTAAAAGCAATATATTTCATTACTGTGGCACTTCCAGTACATCTAACGTTAGCTAACTGTCTGCTCGTCTCTTGTTTGCACCAGTGAACTTCTAGATTTCTAAGTAAATCTTTGAGGTGTATATGCTACGTGCAGCTCTTAAACTCCTCCTGAGTTCAGACCTCTATAATAAGTTAGTATTTTAAGACTAAATATGTAGAGAGCCACATTCAACAGGGGTATGTTTGATTTGTTACATGATAGTTCTTCTTTGAACAGATGCTCAAGATGCCATGGGAACTAACCTTTAATTCATAATTGTTTGATAGATACTAGGGAAACATTCCTGTGTGGTTAAAAAAAAAGCTTTAATTAATGGTTTTACTATCTGCATATTTAACATAAATTGAATGGACGGCCTCTAAAGATGGCATCTCATTGAATATGTTATATTACATTGATTTAATGTTGTTAATTTTGTAGTATATGCCGTACTGCAAAAAGTACATTTAAGGTACACATGATAACACAATGGTTTATTATACCACACAATATATACGTAACTAACAGACAGTTATCTTTTTTTGATTCTCCCAGTAGTCTGAGCACTGCTTTAACAAATGACGAACTTTGGTGATTTGGTCTTTCTTTTAAACTGATATCCCTTCCTTTAGAGAATGCAAAAATGAAATATAGTAATAGACCAAGAGGAAATAGTCTGGTCAATAGGGACAATTTTCACATTAGGGGTCATTTCTTTCAATCACACCGTCTACCAGACTGGGAGAAAAAAGATTCTGACAGCCCAGACTGTTGACACATTGAGGATTCAAAAAGCCAGCAGCAGGTAGTTTTATTATTATTTTTAGAAAAGGAAATTGGTGCATTAGAAAATAAACGTCTCTACATAGACATTTATATCTGCACTGTGTGTGTGTGTGTGTGTGTGTGTGTAGTCAAATGATTTCTGACAGATAAGGCACAATAAAATTGGTTCCACAACACAAACAAACAATGTAAAATTTGGTCAGACTTAATATTAATAAATAAAAACTTCAACATGGCCAGCTACCTGAGGGAGATCTACTTCCTGTCTAAATTAATACACGGGGGTAATGGTAGCAATAATTCATACTTTAAGACAAGCAACAATAAAAGCCAAATAAAATCAAAGGAAAGTCATTAGTTATTTCACGTCTGCCAGTGCTAATACAATACATAAACCTGCTTTACCTACGTTGTGCAAATGACACCTTTAATTATTCACAATCAGCGATCAGTGTTGTCAATACAATAATGTTGTTAAGTGTATGTAAATGTGAACCTTTTACACGTTGATTCACTTAGTTCCCACTGTTGTCATATTCTGCAGCTCGTATTGACTGAGGTCATGAAGCACAAATGAAAGCACCGATGCTGTAGTCACAGGTTGACTCTAAACACCGGGCGTCCCACTGTGACTGCCTGTGAATGTACCTTTAAAGAGCTCCTCATAAATCCTTTAATGACCATAGGAGGAGTATCCACCACGCCTCCACGGATACAAGGACCCTATACATTGTACTTTTATTACCAAGTGATCGCAGATAATGGATATCCATGCTGGCTGTGCTAAACTCACACCCAACCAAAAATAAACCCTGAAAAAGGAGATAATCATGTAAATATCGAACGCCGTTTCCCTGTACGTCCTATCCCCGCTGCACGGATCTCTCTTTTTCCTCCCCACACAGAGTGGCGTGAGATAGAAAATATTGCTTTCACATGTTTCAGCTGCTTAGAGGCAAAATGAATCATTGAAGAGATTAAGCCCCTTGCAAACCCTTTGAGGATTAATTCCCCTCCTGATATAACATTCCGCCCTACACCACTGAAGATACAGTAATATGAACCAAGGCATAACGCTGCATCTGTAGACGGGTGACAAATGGAGGAAAATAGATGCAGAGCACCTTGGTTCATTGCCACAGGAACACCGTCAATGCACCTGAGCACTGAACACGTTTGTGATGTAACAGCACTGAGGGGAAGAGTCCAATTATTCCCCAAGGAAATCTTCCATTTAGTGTTTTGATGATGAAGCTTGAATATTTTCAGGCACCATAATCTACTGTCTGCATTTGAACAACAATAAGAAAGTCTCTTTAGTGTGAAATATTTTTAGATCAAATTTACTAGGGATGCACAGACACCAGTATCGACCAATACCTCTTTCAAATAATCTTTGTACACGAAAATATTAATACGACCTTTCAGTACGCGCAGCTATGCACTGCTCAGCTGGTTTTGTGTGTTGTCCTACTGGAGTCCAGCATCTCATTGTCCTCATGTCTGTTGTGAATTTACAAGCAATCTAAATAAACGAACATCCCTTAGTGACACCGTTTACTAAAAAACATCAGTGTTTTTGAATGGGATTGCGCTTCTAGTATTTAATTTATTCATCTTTATTTTATTGATATCTGTCTAATGTGACACTAATGTCAGTTTAAAGGTTGTTATTTTAATACTGAAAAATGTAGCAAAAGAAGTATTGGTGCTGGTACCGACCAGTATAGACATGAAAAATACTCGTACTCGTATTAATTTGTAAAAAAGCGGTATCAGGAAGTTACAACAATTTACAATTAGTTGCACACAAAACTATTCACTGATTGATAATGGAAGGTAGAAAGCCTCCTTCAGATGTACTGTATATTCAGTGTGTTTGAAACTAAAATGTCCTTTTTACATACTTCAGCCCTAAAACAGGAATACTGTGGAATTATAGGGGACATAAAAATGTCTCATGGATAAAAGACAAATGCATGAGAGGTATGACTGTACACTTAAGCAAAAATGCTGATAAACGCTGAGTTGAGAGTGTGTTTGTAATGTAATGATTCAAATGATGGATATTAATCATTGGCATTCATCATGTGTTTTTGCTTTATTGACTCTTCAGCATGAGATAGAAGTTAACTTCATAGAAATTTGATTTCCCCACCAGGGGAAATAGGAATGAGGTGTTTTCCAATATGAGTGTACAAACAGTTTCATTATTGAATTTTATGTAAAATTTGCTTTCACCTAATAACCCGTGTATACCCAGGTGTATTCCTGCAGTCAACTTCCTCCCTTTAAATTAGCTTTTTTTTTCCCTCCATCTTTTAAACATTACCCAGGCTGGTAAATACACTGCTGCTGCGGCTCCTCACCGTCCACCTCATTTGTTTGAGCTCATCTTCAAGGCAGATTGGTTGCTGCTGTTTCCTTGGGCTGCAGCAGCGTCTGTGGCTAATGTCCTGCAAGTGGGACCAACTGTCAGTCATCATTCACCTTATCAAACTATCAGAGTGTATTCAGCTCTCCCGAGAACTCACCCAATCGGCATCATGGCTCAATACCCAGTTTGTGAAATAAAATATTATTTCCTAATGTTAAACACCGGATGCAAAGGCTCTGATTCAGCTTTTTTATGAACTGGTACACTGCGTAGGCAGGAATTCATATCAGGGAGAAGCAAATTCTCAAATTTGATAAAATAGATGGTTTTAAATGCCATTCTGCTCACAGTGCAAGGAATGATTTGTGCCAACTAGTCTGTCTGTGTCGAGATATGCGAGTACTCATAAAATTAAATTTAATTATGGCAGTATTGGATTGGCAAAAAACACTGCAAACTTCAATATGCCTAGCTGATATGAGAACGGGGTTTTTTTCCCTCTCCATATTGTGAAATAAGAGATGGTTCTCTTTTTTGCCTTTTTTCACTGGGAATAGTTCAAGGTTTTAATACATGTATACCACCACATAGTTGAACTGAAACAACTCTCCATTCACATATTCAACTGCTCTGACAAAATGTTCCAGAAACCAAAGTCAAGTTGGCTGTGTCACAACTGTTTCCAACGTGAAGAAATCAATGATCTGCTACTGAATCTGCTACTTAGTTGAGCACGTCACTAATAAACTGACAGGAATCAAAGAAAGACAAACAAGATCTGCTGCCGCCTAGTGGAAGAGTATTTAAGTGTTCTGCCTGTCACTGTTGCATAAACGTAAATTATAATTTTTCACATCAATAAAGTGAAACTGGATCATTTTCCACAGGATATGTGATGATTTGTCACTGTACATACAATAGTTGGGAACCAACGTTCTCTACTACAAGTATTTGACCAGCTCTGTAACACACTGACCGTATACTAAATAAACACTCACACCTTGATAGTGGCATTACTCTCACTGTAGCATTGGTACGTTTTTACACTTAAAGCTGAAAATATTTTAACACTGTCAGTATCTGAAAAATGTAATCGTTTTCTCCAATGTGCTTGTGATTTTTGTTGTGATATGAAGTTAGAGCTTGTTAAACTTTAACTGAGGTGCAAAAATAGACTTGATAAATAATGCATTCTGATGCTTTATGACCGTACATTATGAGCTGGTGTTCTTATTACACCAGAATAAATTTGGTTTTGTTTGTTACACTCTAAAAATAGCTGGAAATTACCATTTTTCTCCTTTTGAGATGCTGATACCTCCTGTGTAGACTGTGGGGTTTTTTTCAAGTGCTGTCCCATTGTTATTAATTGTTTGTTTGTGTGTCTTTTTAATTAGGTGCTACCTTTGATGTGGCCATGCGCTTCCTGTCGGAATGTCCATGGAAGAGACTCCAGGAGCTGAGAGCTCTGATCCCAAATGTTCCTTTCCAGATGCTGCTGAGAGGAGCTAATGCTGTGGGCTACACCAACTACCCCGATAACGCTGTTTTCAAGTGAGTTACCCAAACACCACACATATTTCATCTTTAAACTCACTTTTGGAGCATGCAGATGCGGGCTGGTCAGAGCGTTCAAACCAAAGGCCTGGTCCTCTTTAAATCTGACACTCCAAACTTTTTCATCATCATTTTCTGTCCCTGGAAAAAAAACAGTTACAACAATGTTTCCTTAAAGCCAGCTGCTGCTCCTTCTGCTCCATTGTGTGGCCGTCATTTTCAAAATTCCTCCCAACTGGTTTGTTTCCATGGAAACAACAGGGGTGACCATCGAGTCTATACATAATTTTGTTTCTCTCTGTAAACTTACCCAGGTGTTTAACACTGTCAAAATTTCTTGCAGTCCTTGAAAAACCACACACATAACTGTAGAAAAAATTAAAGGAAAAAAATGTACAAAAACAAAACCACACACATAACTGTAGAAAAAATAAAAGGAAAAAATTGGACCCAGCCATTACTCACAGAATTTGGAATTTAGAAGTGATTAATTGTTCAGAGCATTGACTTCCATGTAAACTCAGATTTTACATTTCCTTTTTGTTCTACGTAGTCGTCCATGTTTAGTTTTTTTTTCCCCCATCGGCTGCTCTCTGTTGAACATCTTAACCCTTTGCACACAAATGACATAGTTGTCGATGTATTTGGGATTAATCTGAATGTCTGTATTGAATTTTCCCTATGCTTTTAGTCCACCATACAGGGACACAAGGTCTCATGAGATCATTCAATATGTAGCTCGAAACCCAATTTTTCTGGAACTTTTTTCTCCATATATATATACTGTCTATATATGTGTATATATATATCCTTTTTTTCATCTATTTCTTTAACTCACTTATTTCCTTCCTCCAGCAGAGACACATCTGTCCCTCAGTTTGAGTTCCTGTTTGTGTTTTTTTTAATCCCGACCCTCACTCTATGTCCCATGAGATAGTGTCAGTGAAAATTTGCTCGATTGTGATTAATGGCTTAGATCTGTTTGCTCAGCTCCCTCTCTGTCTTTCCTTTACTCTGTCACTTCCTCGGCCTCAGCGTTTGGAGCGAGGAAGCCTGCGGCCAAGTGGCTCCAGCATCTTTATTAAGGAAATCAAATCAAATTGTAATTTGGTCTCATTTCATTGATTTAAAGTGTATTTTAAGGGTCACAGTGTCATGGAAATGTGTGCTCCCCAAGGGGAGGATTGTGGTGTTTAAATATTTGGAAATTGCACAGAGTTGAAAGGTCATGCGATTGTGATTTAGGTTGTTGTGTCCTGAAAACAGAAGAGGCTTAGAAAATTCAACTGAATAGTGAGCACTCTAGCTCATTATATTCATAGGTTTTTGTCGGGTTCTTAAAGCTACGCCCAACAACAGTTAACATACATTGTTGTCTCGCCGTTGTCCACACTCCCACAGCCAGCTGTACTGTATGTCTGTTTGTTTACAAACGCAGCAGCTTTCCATGTCTGAATTCCCCACATGCAGAAACTCTGCAACTCAACCCATTATAAAAAAATCTGATTAAGACCCAGACTTGAAGGGAGGGGTTTAACCACTGTGGTTCAGATAATGAGACAGGTATGAGCTTCTTTGGAGTGATTGCATGCAGGCTGCAGGCGCTGTAAGATCACTATTCCTGGAATGAGGAGAAAATTGTATTAACGCCGATATGGCGGTGTTCATGAGTGGCAATATGAAAATGGATATATGCGGCTTATTCTAAACTACCTCAAATTGCCTCTGATACATTGCGTAAAAAACACATTGTGCCATTAGTTACTATGATGATTCCTGCAGGTTTTGCGAGGTGGCCAAGGAGAACGGTATGGACATCTTCCGTGTCTTTGACTCCCTCAACTATCTGCCAAACATGCTTCTGGGAATGGAGGCAGCAGGATCTGCAGGGGGCGTTGTTGAGGCTGCTATTTCGTACACGGGTGACGTGTCTGACCCCATGAGACAGAAGTACTCCCTGGATTACTATCTGAAACTGGCAGATGAGCTGGTCAAAGCTGGAACCCACATCCTTTGTATCAAGGTGAGAAGACACAAACATGTCGCGGTCGGGTGTATTGAATATAACAAACTTATCTTTGGTTATGTTTGCTCTTTTATTCAGAAGATAAAATAATCATGTTGTAATAATTCTTTTGCTACTACATTCTTTTCTTAATTAATTCAGGTTTTTGAATTTGATTAAAAAAATCTTCACTGGTAAAGGCTTAGTGACTAGCTGAGATACTAATGAAATTCCCTTTAATCACAATAGAATGACTATAGTGTTAATGTAAGCAGACTGCAGTTTGTGAGTAAACTTACTTTTATTTGAATGAAATATGCAACAACCATCACTGGTACCAGCTCTGGTAAATGTTGATTTTGTTGTTTTTGAGGTTAAAGAGATAATATCAAACTAAAAAATATGGAGATATTTTGGAAATGGAGATTTCAAGTTTGATCAAATATGGAGATATTTTGGAAATGGAGAACCTGAGTTGCATTACAATGACTCAGAGGGAGAGAAATATTTATAATCAATGCAGAAAATCGATTTAATCGTCTCTTAGTTTCAAGCTGAATAAGGGGCCAGCAGATTTATTTGACCGGGGGTTGACTATCTATGGTATTCTGAGTATTTCTGACATGTTTTGTTTTTAACCAGACATTTCAGTAGATCTTCAACTGTTCTTCAAGTTTTGATTTTCACTGATTTGTCTGCATGTGCTGTAGTAAATGATCTTCTTATTGGTGTGATGCTCCAGTTTTTATTTGTAGCCTCATCCACTGTTGTGTACACGTTCCTCCCTAATTAGGACAATGACAGGCGGTTTAAATTAATCTTGTGTGACCCCGGCTGTGACACTATCGGATATTTTAGACAGAAAACCTTTCAAAGGCACACTGAGGTTGTGGTGTCCTCTGTTTCTATACATATATTGCTTGATCAATAATATTATTTTATATACGGAGAATATATTTTCATATATTTTACATTTTTTCCACTCATGTAACCCCCCTCTCCGATGTCTCACCAGGATATGGCTGGACTGCTGAAACCACAATCAAGCAAACTTCTGGTTGGTGCTCTGAGGGAGCGTTTCCCAGATGTGCCCATCCATGTGCATTCACACGACACGGCTGGAGCCGGTGTCGCTGCCATGCTGGCCTGTGCTGAGGCTGGAGCTGACGTCGTGGATGTGGCTGTGAGTATTCATGTTTGCAGTTTTAAAGGTCAAAGTATTCTCTAGATCATCTGGGGTTTTTTATATTATTATTTTTCTCAGCATATGAAACATTTCCAAAATGCGTATTGGATAACTGTTGGGTTTATTAAGGTTTTTTTTTACAAGTACATTACATTACAACATGTTACCTCCAAACTGTTCAACATAAGCTGTTCCTGAACTCACAGAAAACAATATGAACCAAACCTTATTTTCCACCACTTTTTATACTTTGCAATGGCAAATGTCACTGAAACAGGGACAGTGAAAAATAAAGGTTGAAGCCGATAGCATTTCCCTCTGCTGTTTGCTGACGTATGCTGCCAACACAGGCAGTTTCATTATAAGGGTTGGCTGCCACTTATACTGTTATGCAGTTCTGCTTATTTCTTTTATTTCTCTTTGACTCAGAAATACTACATAGAAAATGCTGACCACATATTAGACACAAATAGATAAATCCATCAGGTTTTTGTGAAGAATTAAATATATGTAGGAATAAAGCATTAATGTAAAATAAATTTGCCGTCGCATATTAACCATGTAGGGGCAGTAAATACGTTATTCATGTTTAAACAATGTTGGCATTCAAAGCTGTATAATAATAATAATAATAATAATAATAATAATAATTTAAAATACATTTTATTTTATAGGCACCTTTCGGTCACCCAAGGACACCTATCATGACATGTGCAGAGAGATAGAGACGGAGAAGAAATATCAGCATTTATCTGACTATACATGACACCTTCTGTGTAAAGTCAATCCATTAAGTGTTAAAGGAACTTCATAACAACCAGCTTTTGAGTCAAATAATGTTATATTGATCGTCCCTCTCTCTCAGGCCACATGGTGAAAGTGTTTAATACCCCTGCCTTACAGCTAAAGGTTCCTCAATATTAACGAGTGTATCCATATGTGTACTTGTCTATACAGAGTAGCATCAAGGTGAGGACACCAAAGAAGAAAATGCTTACAGTCTTTAGCCTCAAACAAAATGCTACTGTCAACACAGAAAGAAAACAGATTTTTCTAAAAAAAAAAATTGATAAAAATTTAGATCAAATAAAATAAACTATAAAATAAAGATAAATTAAATCAACTTTCTGAATGGCAGAAACAGCTAGGTGAACAGAAAGCGAGCAGAGCTTTTACACCGATAGCACATCTCAATTTAAACTGTCACTGCGTTCCAGTGAACAACTGTTTTTGTGTTCCAATAAACAAATGAACCCAGACAATATTGTTTAAAAAGGTATTTACATGAAAGTGACTTAGTGAAGTGTGAACGCTTTATCCACTGTGCCAAGACATTAGCGTATTTAGCTGTTTGAGCATCCTTTGGGTGTTTTGTTAGATTGCTCCTTGCAGAACTAATCAGTCAGTAAGCCCTGCTCCTACCTTCAAACTGCTGATAGTGTTGATGTCCTAACAAACTGCCCGTGAGAGCAGTTAGACACTGAACTGCAGTGGGAAAACACAGCACTGACTGATTAGTGTGCAGTTGGTTGTTGTAATAAGACATCACTGAATTACTTGACTACAGATACCAATGCATTCCTACTACTTTATTCACTTTTGCACAACTAAACCTTAACTTTGCACTCTACACTTTATTTATCCCAATGAGACAACTTCAAACATTGGAGCCTTTATGTTATGTCACCCAGTTAATAACAATAAAAACGTGGCTACACTACACCTACCTGTTGAATCACATAATAAAAGTCCTGCTTTCCCCCCACTTTCTGTAGGTCGATTCTATGGCTGGTATGACTTCTCAGCCCAGTATGGGCGCCATGGTGGCCTGTGCCAAGGGAACAGATCTAGACACTGGTAAGTGCATCTTCAGTGTTTGACACAATCATAAAACAAAGAATGTGTCTGTCCACCCATCCTACATACAATTTAATCTCAATAATATCATGCATTGATGGTTTACTCATTACTCAAATCTAATTTGATTGTACACACGTTAGAGTTTCAGATTACACCCATTTGGTGCAAATATTTTTAGACTAAGGGGGACCATATTTGGCCACCAGGGGCAACATTCATCCTGTAAATGTGTCAGTGCAATTAGAACATACTGGCTGTTTTTCCCTGAAAGCTTTAGAGTTAATGGATACTTGGATACTTCTTCTTAATATAGTATATACATTTTGGAGTGAAGAAAAAGGTTTGGACTTTGTCTTAAGCTTAGCATAGTCTAAGAATAGATCTTTTTTGTCAAGACGTTGATTAATGTAACATAGCAAGTCTGTGTGAGAATGGACTACTTCACATGAAGCTGGGCAGAAGAAAATCAATCTGGTAATCAATAAATGACAGAGCGTATCTCCAATTATTGCTTCAACTTGGAATAAGCAGCACATGCAGCTTAGGGATAGCAAACACAAAAAAGTATCAAAGGTGAATTAAAGTAAAAGTTTTCAAAGGTTTGGAACTTAAGACAGAGTAAATGTTTTTTGCTGGACATATGTGCTTTTATGTCTTTTTATGAGAATTGTGTCTCAGAGTTCAAAGGTCATAAACATCTACTCACACCTTCCCCAGAAAAAAATCAGACCAGAAGTGATTTTCTGTGTTCATTTTCCCCTTAGGTTTTTGGTTTAATACTCTTTTCTACTGATTTTTGCTCTCATGGCCTGCAGCTCCTCCCCCACTCCCTCCCTTCCTCCCTCCCTCCTTCCTCTGATACCTCACTGAGGTGTGTGTGACATTTGCCCCCGTCGGTGCAGAATGGAAAAGATATTAAAGCTTGTGTGGATAAAAGTGTGGAATAGAAAGGGGCTTAAAGAATTCGAACTGATGTGAAGTTTGCTGCTTAGTTATACAGAGTAACGCCCTCGGGATCTCTGGCTCTGCTCTACCTGGATCTTAAAGCTCATTCCCACAAAACCACTGTTAATTATGTTTACGCTGTTTACACTAAACAGTTCCCTCGCTGTCGGCTGCTGTTGTGCAGGGTGCTATTAACATTAAAAGTAGTTTGTTACTGCTAGGCAGTTAAAAGCAGAGGATACTGTTGCCGGGGGTAAATGTAACTGGAGAGAAACTCTGCCTATCTAAAAGTGAGGCCACATACAACAGCCTGCAAGAACAACCTCTATTTCAATAATCAGGCTTTGAAATGAGAACTGACACAGATGACTAAACAGCCTACATGACGCTGCCCTGACAATTCCAGTGCGGCTTTTGTAACACTGTTACCATCACGTTCCTGATGGTGTTAATGGACTGCTTCCTGATCTCAAAACATTTGCAGCAACAAAAGACAAATCATTCTTAGAGGAAGCTTCCAGAATAGTAGTCCACAGACAGAGCCAAGAAGACATGCTATATTTTTTAGTGTCATACATGTCTCATTTCTTTGGAGGTGAAACCTCACCCAGCTGCTGCTTTCTACTTTAATAAAACAATTCAAACAATTAAAAAAGTTCCTCACCCATTTTTCAGTGTTCGTGGTATTTGAGAAGAAAATCAGTACTGCTACAGTTGGACTATCCATACATCCAGAAATGTATACATCGTATGTACTGTATGTACAATTTAATGTTAGCAACACTGTTATCAACATTCAATTTCTTATCCATCCTCATCTCAGTTCTCATTTGGTTTCCTTATAAAACATATGACATTTAATTCTGACAAAACATTTTTCACAACAAAGAAGAACCTATGTGGTGTTAGGTGAATTAGTGTGTCAATGTCAGTCTTTACTGGAGAGCTAATACAACTGAAACAGTGGGCAGACCTGGCTGATGTTGTGTACAGAGGACCACAGCACTGAAGTTGTTTTTGAAGTCAGTCTGTAGGAATATAAAAAGTACGAATGGACCTCAGGATGGACATCATTTACATAGTTTTGTGAAATCACTGCCTTTTCCATCTGTGAATTCTGTAAGCAGGGTCGTTAGGCTACCAATCAAGCCTTAAATGCAGCCCAAATTAAGTAAAGAAAATTAGTTTGTAAGTATTTTGTTTTCTATAAACAGCTGAAGAAGAATAAGGCTGTCTCTGAAGATCAAGAGGATTTTTCTCACTGATGTCGTGCAATTTTTCTTCTCTCTCTCTCTCTCTCACACACACACACAAACAAACACAAGCTCATATATGGATAATCTATATATATATTTATATATATGTGTATATATGTATGTGTATATGTGTATATATATATATATATATACACATACATATATACACATATATATATATATATATAGACAGACACACACGCACACCCACACACAAGGGCACACTTACTCTGTCCTTATGTGACCCTGACACATGCATTATGCACATGCAGACTAACTCCTCCTCACTTCACTTCTTTTATATCAGTCACCTTGCACTTGTCTGCACCTTTACGCTCCTCCAGCCCCCATTTTCTCATCTCACTACTTTTGTAATCAACACACTGCTCCTTCGTACACTTCCATACCTTCACGACCTTATTTTTTACTGCCTTCCTTCTCTTGCCACTTTAGCCCTCAGCCTTCTGCATCGTGCTCTATTTCACCTCTACTTTCACATTGTCTCTTCATTTTTCTTTTCTTTTCTCACTCACAGACAAAACAATTAACAGCACTTTGCATGTCTCTGTTTCTCCTTATTTCTCCGTCTTAACACATTCTCTCTCTGCCTCCTCCATCCCGCTTCTCACATTCACAAACCCCCCCCTCCCCCCTCCCACTGCACCACTTTGTTCTTAGGGAAAAAAAAAAACGAGTGTCACTGGTTAATTAATTTGAATTTTAGCTGTCAGCTTATTTATTCAGTCAACCACTCTGTGCACACACCCGGGCATATTGTTAACGGGGAAAAAAAATCATGTATATTCACCAACACGTTTGCACTTGAATGATGAGACACTTTGGTGCAGCATTTAATGCCTCTTGGTGGGTACAAAGCATGAAATTCACTGATGAAGGATTTTCAGCTTTCATAATAAACTGCTCAGGGTGTAGCATCATGGAAAATCTATGCACTCCAAGTGTAGACGCTCTCCTCATTATTTGTTTCAATGTTTTACTTAGGAACACATACACGCAGGTAGAAAGACGTATGGACAGCTCTTGTCTCCAATTTTCCATTTTTACCCATTCTCTCATCTGTCTTTCTGCGTTCGACTAGCTCTCCTACCAATAAGCTGTGTGTATTACATGCATAATTTGAGGTAATTGCCTTTCAGTGTCTGTTTGTCCGTCTCCTGCATTAGCTAGTTTGCAATGCTAATCACTTGTACACATTGACGGTGCTTTATCACTGCCAGGCAGCCACCTCAATGACTGATGTATAGATACACCAGCACTTATGTGCCCGCACGTGTTATACACAACAACAGCTGGGTAACAATGACGCATTCACGTCTCGTTTGTCTTAATGAACATTTAGAACCATATATGTACCTGTTCTGCACACTTACCTTACCATTAGCAGTGGTTGGTTATTACTGGGGAAGTATGTACTGTGAAATCAAGGCAGTATTCATGTTATTGCCTTATTCATCTGCTGACAATTGGTGTGACTCATCTTAGGCAGCTACATTCAACTCTTTTATATGAGGAATAATATATATAGATATATACTGTATATAGATGATGTATATGGATATAAAATAGAACTACGGAGGGCTACCCTGTGTCTTATAATGACTAAAATGAATAAATGGAGTGTGGTTTAGAGTGTTTCACCTGAGGTGAACATAATTTGATGCATAATGACATTTCAGTTATTAGAGCCTGCTGTCTTGTTGAACGTGCTGTCTCCTTTGGAAATGGAGGAGGCAATTTCACAACAGAAGCCTAAAAAATTTAGGTGACAAACAGAGAGGAAAATTGACCTCTGTGCTGACTGTTTTGGTAAGAGGTGTGATTTTGAATAGCAGCAACATCATGCACATTCATTTTACATCGATTTCACAGTAGCTCCATTTTCCCAGCCAGAGATCACCGATAAAGCACACGAGCACTCAGTTGCACGCAGTTGCTTAAAATCTGAAAAAAACGTACCCTGTGATTTTTGTTACCGTGGTTGTAAACAGCTTTGTTTGTTTTCCTGTTTTCGTGGCTTAATGCTTGGAGCCAAATGCAGCACATGACACGTTCTTCAGTGGCATTGAGGCACATTTTGTGTTTCAGGGTAAAGGCTTCTGCATACCTAGTGTGTAGCAGGAAAAAAAGGAAAACAAGCAAGAGAAGTGAGCATTTGGAATCAAGTTGTAATAAGTTTTTTAATTTCCACTGCTTGTTTAACCCTTTATCCTTTGAAGAAATGTATTCATTTAAAGATTACTATCAGTTTAATTTGTAAAAATCTAAACTAAATATATAATTATGTATGAATAGTTATCAAAGATAAATATAACCCTTTTGTCTTGCCATTAGGACATGACCTTTGCAAGAGTGTGGACGACCCTGGCATGTGTAAGAAAACAAACATCTACGTTGCTGTATTTGGAGAACCAGCTGTCTGTCTTGATAAGTTGAAATTACTCTGGCAGTGAAAACTGCTATGTGTCCAAACAAACAGGACGCTGTAAAGATTTGACAAGGCCTAAATCTTGTTTATATTGTCATACTTCAAATTTATCAGCGCAAGCCCTGTGCTGTCAAAACTGTGTGTCTGGCATCAGGCTCAGATCATTAATTCAGATAAAGCTCAGGTTGCTGCATTCGTTTCTACCAAAATGAGTGGTGATGTGGTGATTTTGACACGTGGGTTCTGTCTTGGCATCAGGAACAGACATTAATTAGGTGCACAACAGGGCTGTTATTGTACATTAATAATGTCAATTCCAAACACTGCAGCATGGTCTTGCCTCCTCAGCAGCCCAATGTCTTTGACTAGGTGTGCTCTGGTGCTCCCAACACACTCTTGTCAGCACAGTTGTCTCTCTGTCTCTCGTGGTACCACCACTAATAAAAGGAGAGGTATCATTAGTATAATTAGGAGTGCCAGCTTCAGGTGGTGGACCAACAACACCGCTCCCCTGCTCTCCTGTCTGCAGTTACCCTTCTTTGATGTTAAGGTCTAATACAGTGTTCCTGGGTCGTGACCTAAAAGTGAGGCCCTGAGCTTGGAGTTGATAGTGGCCCAAATACCAGTAATGTTTAAGTTCTGTGATTAGACATTACTTCCCTTTTTATTGGTTTTTACAAACCAATAAAACTTTATTTTATTCAGATTCACCTCTGCCTTTTTTCTTTGACTTCATTAAGCAACAATGGTCAGAAAAGTGTTTTTTTTTTAAAAAAGTTGTTTGAAACTGAAAGACTCAAGGACACAATGTTTTAAAGTCCCATTAAAACAAAATCATATGATGTCCTTTCTGATTTCCTCTGTCTCAGGCATCGCTCTGGACAAAGTCTTTGACTACAGTGAATACTGGGAAGTGACCAGAGGCCTGTATGCTCCGTTTGACTGCACTGCCACCATGAAATCTGGAAACGCTGATGTCTATGAGAATGAAATACCAGGAGGACAGTACACCAACCTTCACTTCCAGGTACTTGGAGCTCCAAATGAAGGAGTTGTAGCATTATCTTACTTTCATTTAAAACCAGAGAACTGTAGATTGTTGTTACAGTGTAAGTTTAAACACAGGAGTAGCTCTGTACAATGAAAGATTCCAGCTGACAGACTGACTACAATCCTTGCTGATACAAGAGAGAACTACTGTACCAGGGGAGGCGCTAATAACAGTCTACATCAACACGTTACGAAAACCGCAACTGCTTTGTGTGTTTTGCTCACTATTTTTGTGAGGATTCATGTTGTAGTTTCAACACTTAGTAACTTAACCAACAAAGTTGGATAATGTTTCATTTTAATGTTTAGATTTCAGATAATCAATTGTGACTAAATCTAAATCTGTTCAACTTAATCATTCATAATGATGCTTGAAGATATTTATTTGTTGTACAAACCTTTATATATTCCAACCATACAGTATTTATACTGTATACAGTCTCTATTTGATAGTGACTAATTTGCATTGCCGTGCATCCAGTAGGGAAATATGTGAGCTTACCTTACAGGACCCAGCTGTGAATCATATATGAATGAATATTAAACAAAGCCCATTGTAATAAATAACATTTTATATGCAGTGTCACAGTAAATCATCAGTTGTCTGCTGCATGAGCATCTTCCCTATAAATGCAGGAGCTATGGGTGTCACGACACGAGTTAAAGCTCTAAATTACAGGTTGCCAGCAAATTGCCCAGAAGGCTGTGAATTTTACACGTAAAATTCACAAGGATTAATAAAAAGAACAGGAGGGGAGAAAAAAAGTACTTATTTATGCTGCCACTTGTTTGACTGTGTTTGATTGCAGGCTCACAGTATGGGACTGGGAAATAAATTCAAGGAGGTGAAGAAGGCCTACGTGGAAGCCAACAAACTACTGGGAGATCTCATTAAGGTAAGACAGAGATAAAACTTCACCAATCCGCCTTTATTATCCTGAGTGCAGCCGTGCAATTTCCACATTAATTTTATTATCACAACAGAGTCCGAGTACAAAGATGAATGTGGATCCACTGGTGAGATGTGTTTGTTTGCAATAAGCAGTAGGAAAGTACTGACACCCACTCAGTTTGACAGCAAAGAAAAGTTACAGGCTTTTTTGACTCGAAGAAATTCTATCCCTTAAAAGGGTCATATGATCCAGTCGCTGCGTTTCTGAGATTGACACAATAATTGAACGTTGATCGTCCAGCAAATGGGGCCTTACTGTGTCTAATTGGTTCACTTTCATTATGCATAATGTCTTAGACTGTGAAAAATGATTTGCACAGGCCCCTCTTTCTCTCGTTCCCTCTGCCAGGCCGCTCCTCTTTCTTTGCACGGCTAAGCCAAATGGGTCCTGATCACATTTGGAACTTCCTCTGTTACACACTGTCTGGATTCACTGTTACTCTGACCATCTACTGTATGTGGCCTTAGAAGGGTAATTGCAGGGGAAGTTACCTTGAACCATGTACTTAAGATGACAACTACTAACTTGAGTTTCAGGAGGACAGCTTTCTGTGTGTGTGCGTGTTTGCTAGTGTTTGGTAGAAGCTGCAGTTAACCGCAGTGATATTCCACATGAGGGTCATTAATTGTAGAGCGGCAGTTAACTTGTCAGCTCTACCATCAGCATTCTCTTCCTCAATTTAGCAGGTACTGCTTTAGTTTTTCTCCACCCTTTTTTTTCAGTATTTACCACCACAGCTTAATAATCCATTGCTCCTTTGTTTGTAATTTCCACTCTGACTGTGGAAACTGCTCTGTTTTCCTGTTTGCCTTTTGCCCAGCTGCTGTGTTTTCACTCATCTCCCCCTCTTCTCTTTGCCCTCTTGCTGATTTTACACATTCACTATCGACACATCTTTTTTCTTTCCCTCTCTATCATTGCAGTCATCCTCTCCTGGATTCCTCATTACAGAACACCTATTCCATCTTTTCCTTTTTTATGTCTTTCCATCTCGTCCTTCATGGAGCCCCTCTTCCTAATTTTGTTTCCTCCACTCTATATTCCTCGTCAATTCCTTCTCACCATCCTCCCCTGCCCTCATCCTCACTCACTATCAATTCAATTAAGACTTAGCAGGCTTCACTGCACAGGCCCATGTAGGCTTATTGTGAGTATGGGTCCTGCTATGCCCTCCATTGTATCCTGTTAGCTGGACAATGGCTGCTTCTCTCACCCCAATGGTTTGTCAATGAAGGAGGCGGAGTGTGCTTGTCAGATATAGACGCTCACACACTGCACACTAGGAAGGTGAGCGGCCAAGCAGTGGTCTACGTTTTTACCAAAGCACGTCACAAGATGTGATTCTCACAGTTGGATGTTTGTTGGAGTACTCAGTTTCCACAAAACCTTATCCGCTGGAGGTATATATGCAGCATGATTCGCTACAGAAAAATAAATGCTCCAATTATGTCTGTTTTAAAAAAAACAAACAAAAAAAAAAACATTTAATCAGCCAAGCCTTTGGTAAAATCTAATTGCATTGAAGAGATTTCTCAATTTCCCATCATCTAATTGCATTGAAGAGATTTCTCAACTCTATTCATTGTCAGGCTTTGTTTTTGTTATGGGTGTTATGGATTATTACTTCAGTAAATGCTCCATTAAAATAATTTAATACTATTAATTCATTAATTTATTTGCTAAGCAGCCAGTACATATTCTGAAAATATCTCTTAATCCATGCAAACAATCCTTGTTTTGCAGCTACAAAGGACCTCTGGTTTGTAAATGAGAAAATATCTTTAGTGCATTGATTTTTTTTTCCTAATCATTAACACTGATTGGATTCGTTTTCGCAGAAACTCTGAGGTCGAACCACCTGCGTGTCCTTGTTCTTGAAAGAGCTATGAATTTTGTATGTAGCCCACTGTAGTAGTACGGTACGATCAGTAATAAATGTTTACATGTTGGCCAATCAGTTTAAAAAGAAGGCAGGTAAGAAACTTAATGTTCAGACTGGACAGGAAAGATTATCTGTTGTCGGCCAAAAATGGACAACATTATTGGAGAACTACTTACTGAGGGCAGTTATGGATTAGAACCAGAGCTGTTTGGACAGTAAGTCAAGTATAGGTTAGAACCTGCTGTGGGTGTGAATTAGCCAGATGATTCAGTGAGTGAGATAAAGAATGGAGTAGATAAGTGCAGCTGTTGGCTTTACACAAAGATGCCTAGTTATTTGTCTATCTGACTTTATATTTTATATATGTGTCAAAATATTGAATATCCTCTCTCATGTTTGGTCTGGCACAACCAAGACTAACTTTGTTGAATGGCCACTGGTTATGACCTTATATTGAATATTATATTATAAATATTATAATACCTGAATATTACGTATTTGTAGTCCTATTCTACACTTAAACTTACAAATGGTTTTTGTTTATATGGATAAATGTGAGTAGTGCAGCATTCATAGTTTTGCAGGGAAAATGATAAAACACATTCCATACAGTTGAACATGGAGCTGCAGGACAGAAACAGACACTTGAACATTCACACTAATGTTTAATAATATATCATCTATATGTATTGTGCACTATTCTAATCAGCACCTTCAAACCTGCCCGGTGCCTTAATCCTCATCGTTTTCCTGGTCACGTCATCGTGCCCTTGCACAGCCTTCAGCATTGTTACATCACCTGATTGGAATGACGTCCAAGACAACAAACCTTTGTCTGAGCACAATAGTCACAAGTCATTACCTCTACATTGTGGGGCATTTTTTATTTTTGCCCAGAGGCATATTTAGTTAAGTAACAGAAAAAAATCAAAAACATACAGGAACAGATCCTACAGGCACTGTTTTAATAATGCATTACAAAAAGAAAATTCAATAGAGGTTTTGGCTGCTACATTTAAGGCTCCAAATGGAGATCTATAGCATCTAAAACTATGTATCATTCAGCAGTGAGTGAGGCTTGTACTGATTCAGTTTTTTACCTTCATTTCGGGAGTCACGAGTCATATGAACGATTCGTTCATTTTGAACGAATCACTCGCGAACGACACATCACTACAAACTATTGATTAGCAGGGATAGCACAAACTTTAGCATTTGAAATCGTGGAACGTGCAGTTATTTCGATACCGTGAAGCCGCACATGTGTAGTGTGCCGGGGGAAAAAAGATGCCACCTTTTGGCTGAAACCAGTGGATGGAAATTCTGAACCAGCATTCTGCTATTTATGTAAAAAACGGCTTTTCTGTCGGGCATGCTAGTGACGCTGATGGGAAACGACACGGTGCACGTGAGTCTCACACACGAAGTACACAACAAATTGAAAAGTGTGCGGAGTTTTTTTCTGCAAACCAAATGACACTGAGTTGGATAAAATCACTGCAGTAGAAGTAACCAGTGTTCACCATGCAGTGCAACATGAACATTCATATCGGTCAACCGACTGCAGAAAATCTTAAATCTCAAGAGAAGATTCAGGTCCAGGGTCACTGTGTACATAGCTGTATAGAGTTCTACAACGATGCAGAATAACTATTCATGGCCACTGAATCTTGGTATAGTCTAGGTTTGAACTTTATTTGGTTACTTTTCTGCTTACAGAAATGTGATATTCATAGTGCTGAGAACGTTTTTTTTTTATTTTCATGTTTTGGTCACAGATGGCCATATAACCACATCAGTTGTTAGTTTTACAGAGATTTATTTACATTTAAATTGTTTAATATTACATCAGGTCATATTTTGCTGGGCCATATCTGCTTATTTTATGTTAAATGTGAAAGAATAAAGATAATGCATTGATAAATATGTTACATTGCAAAATGTGTGTGCTTATCAGGTCTAGGTTATGTCTTGAGTGATAGAGTTTGTTTTGTGGAGGTAAAAGGCCAGATACGTTCATGTTACTTGATTACGGCTGTTTGTAGGTAGCAGGTAGGTAGGTAGGCAGGTAGGTAGGTAGGTAGGTAGTAGGTTTGTGTGGAACAATGAGTCCCATACAAACCTGCTACTTGTCCCACATTTTGTCAGTTCAGATCACACTATATGGCACTCTGTTGTTGACTGTTAATTAGTGTTGCAAAATGTGAAACACACTGAGGATGCTAACGTTACTGAATCAGTGGAGATGGTTATGTTTATCCAGATGGACAGCTGACTAGACTAAAGTAAGACACAACATTAGGTCCAAAAAGGAACAGTTGTTGACCAAACGTTGTTGTGACTGTATTAATGAACCTGTAGTTTTCTGAATTTTATATTTTGTTAGAGTGAAATTAACTGTCACTTAGCTTTAACTTACAATAGTTACATTAGAGTTTAATAGCGAGCCACAAAGCCACTTCCTTTGTGGTTTTCTAAAACAAACAAACAAACAAAAAAACACGAGTTTTTAACACAGTCTAGTCACACAAGGTTTCACCCTTGCTTCCATTTTAACGTGCGATATCGGTAAAGAGCTTTACGCAACGATTGACATTACCACGAGTCAATGACTGTTGCAGTGGCATATGGGTCGACCAATTAGATTACACGGGAGCTTGCCACTACAATCAGAATTAATTTATCCAGCTTCCCAGCAGTGTTCAGTTTTTATGCATCTTTCACAATATCTCTTACTTTGTTTTATTTTTTATTCTCCAGTCTTTGCTTTCATCAGGCATAGATTTTCCCTTTTGTGGTTTAGTTTTTTTCCTAGTGCACAGCTGCATGGGCTATGTTTTTTGTGCTGTGGATGAGTAGGTTGAAGTATCAGTGTGGACCACCTCTCTTTTTCTATCTCATTTTCTTCACTCACTGTCACTTCCCTGTTGCAGTTACAAGCACATGCTCAGTGTATATACACACACCCTCAATCTCAATTTAAACTGGAGCGTCACTCTGAATGTGCAGACGTCTTTGTCGGTTTTACCAAAGACACACTCCCACCATCACTTCAGTATTCCCCCTGACCCCCTCCTCCCATCACCCTGTTCTTCCTCCTGTCTCCTGCTCTCCTCCTCTCCTTCCCCACAGTCAGTAAGTCTCATCTGCTCCTTCATCAGCACTTCCACCTTCACTGCTTTCCATTAGACGTCTGTCATGTATAGAGTATATTATCATTCCAGGTGTGTCAGCTCCTCTTTCTCTCTTTTACTCAGTCTTTATCAGTCATTATCTCTTGTTAACCGTGCAGAAAGTTTATTGTCATTTATTTTGATTTTTTTTTTTATCCTGGGTTTTATTGATGTACTGTCTAATTTGTTAGAAGGGTCAGTTTTAAGACTTTTATGTTCAACATTGAATTATTTGTTTCCTTTTGGTTTGGAAGAGCTTTTTATTGATACAAATAAAAGTAAACTGGCTGTAAGCATTTTCCTGCTAAGCTTCCTCCCTGTGGTTAGGGTGGAGCACACACATTCACTTTATTACATATTTAATTAAAGTACTCGGCAATGGAAAGAATGCATACTGATTATATTTGCATAAATGCAAAATGGTATCTGAACATAAACAAAGGTTCTTCACTAGATTACCACTGAAATAGTGCTGGCTGCTTTGTAAACAACTGGCCAAAATATGACCCATAGCCATTCAATACTTATTGGACAGACACAATGCTTTCCTAGCTTATGCACACAGACACAGCTCTACTCTATAAAGTACCCAAGAGCTCCCAAGAGCTTGGAGTCTTGCGGCAGCACTGGAGTGAGCTGAACGTCAGCGAGAGTGAGTGGATGGATTAGAGATGGAAGAAGAGTTGAGTGAAGGGACACAGATAGCGAGAATAGAAAGGTCTTGTGTGTCAAGTGTGGTAAGAAGCTTGTATGAAGACTGACATGTTGTAACAAATTAGTTTAAGAAGTGGTGAGAAAGTTGGAAAGGTCACAGAGCTGGATGATGCTGCTGCTGCTGCTGCTGCATGCTAATAGAAAATAGCAATATAATAAAACAGAACAGGTGCAAGATGTCATCATGGTGTTCATAGGTTAGGTTGTGGTTGTGATTTATTTATTTATACACTTGAGCATCATATTTTGTCATAATCGTGACATTCCTAATTAAGAGAATAAATATATTTTTTCTAGTCTACACTTCATTTCTCATAGCTTTATCATATCAATAATGATTATTTTCCATTTGCCCATGAACATGCCTTATTGTTTGTTTTGAATGTTAGCCTTTTGCCAAACCGTTAAAGTCTGGGCTTAGCTTCATACAGTGAAAGTAAATCAGATTTCTGAAAACCTCCCTGGCCTGGATGAGATTTACTTCTCGCCATGCCTTAAAATATAGAAAACCTCACACATCACACGTAGCTCACACACAGCTGGAAGTAAGATTTCCTGTTTCCTGCATGTGCGAGAGGAACCCATAGAGACTTAAAGGAGAGAGAATTATCAACAGAAGCTGAGAGTTAACCCGTTTGTGGTGATTCAAAGGAAAATGGGTGAAAAAAGTCATCACTCAGTGGAGACAAAAGAAAGTATTGGGATACTTAAAGAATGCAGTGGGATGGATGTTAGTATAGAGATAGAAAATAGTAAAGTATTTTTGTCCTTTGGTCTAAAAACCAAGGAAACAGAGAAGACAGCGGTGAAGGTAAAGGGATGCAGGTAAATGTGTTCAGGTAAATTTCAGAACTCAGCAATTAGCTTTTGTTCCTGGCCTGCACCAAGTTAATGGTCTCTCCTGAGATTTCAACAGCCCCTTCAACTCTTTTAAGCTTTTACATAAACAGCCTTTTTTCACAGCCTTTACTGTCTACGTCTCAGCTTTTCACAGACCCCACTTAACATGAGCTTTAAGTGTTGTTCCAAAAAAGTGCTAAAGGGAAGTGCAAAATCATTAACAATCAGCAGGTGGCATTTCCTTCTCACGTCTAGTCGGGCGTTTTCTGAATCTCAACATGCAGATGCAGACTTTAATAAGCACCTACGTTTGTCACTTAGTCTCGAGGAACTGTTTTCCAATAACTGCTGCAGGTACAGTATGTCCTGCATGTAAAGCTCTCTCTGATCCTTTCCATGAAGATGTAAATAAAGTAACACAGGGTGAGACTTTATTCCACTGCCTGTGCAAATCATTCAATTAGATCAGTACAAATGATGGTTCCAAATAAATCTCTTTTATGCCAAGAAATAAATTCAAAGGTACAATGGCTTTATTAAGTTAATCAGCTGTGAAACGCAATTGTGATTTCACAGAATGCGTTCTTACAAGAAGGCAATCCATCCATGAAAGCTATGGGTTTCATTCCTGAAATAATTATAAAGACAATCTTGGCTTTTTTCATATGATCATATAACAAGTTAATAGAATAAGTAATAATTGAGTTTTAGCTGAAGTTAATATACAAAATAATGTTCTTATTCAAAAAACTGTTTGAAATACAGTAAAATGAAAAATGACCTTTTATTGATGTTTTGTAATCCAATCAAATTGATTTGTGAGGTACCTGGAGAGTCCCATAGCCCTGGTTCAATCCTAGGCTTATGTGCTGATGTGTCTTCTTCTTCGTTGTAACTAAAGCTGTGGCTCCATGGTGTTCTGTGTTTAAATTTAACTCGGGTTTTAAATAATTGTAACTACAGTACAAAAAAGCCAGCTCACTTTGACTCTTTCCAAATTACACAGCAGCCATTTGACTTTTAAGTGGGAAAAGATCAATAGTCAGTTAAATCACGTAGGCCCTTAACTAATAAAGATCAGTGGCTACAAGACATTGACTGTAACTTATTATGTAGGGCCTTGGTTGGTGTTCAAAACTAATCTAGCTTCTTTATTCCACTTTATGCCAAGCTGATTTTAAATCATTGTTCTGTAGCAACTGGTCAAGTACACACACACACACACACACACACACACACACACACATTGAGGCCGTCACAACATCAAGTTGTAGAAGTTTCCCTGACAGACCAGCCATGAAAACTATGGACTTTTATGACCAAAGGAAATATGCTGAGCGTGCAGTTTATTTTAAGCTGTAACAGCGTCTAATGAATGCTGCTGTGTTTGCACTGATGGCATTTACTTTCTACAGCAGGTTAAAATGCAGTGGCTGGTAGTCCTGTCATCCCCAGAGACTCGATCCACTCACTGTTATCCACAGCAGCCTCAGGAGGGTTGTTGTAATCCCAGAGCACTCTTTGTTTATAAGCCCATATGTGTGTGTGTTTCCAGTCTCTCTCTGGATAATTTGGCATTATGGCTCTTTGAAGAAAGGTGTCAGGTTTCATTGTTTGGAGATTTTTTAGGGACTGGTTATTTGGTTTTATTTTTTTAAATCTCATTACATGTCTCATTATGTCACGTGCCAAAGTGTTAATTTCTCAATTGTTGTTGTCAGCTGCTACCATTTAAGAGGTGATGAGTCTCATCCAGACGATGTATAGAGATGTTTAATACAATGTCCAAAACTATAATAATATCCAGACGATGTATAGAGATGTTTAATGCAATGTCCAAAACTGCAACGAGCACCTGGAGGACAAACACTAAATGTAAAAAAGAATTCAAATAATTTTCATCAAATAACTTCCATCTCAAATTTATACACCAAATGTAAATGAGCGGTAAAAGATAGAGAGAGAGAGAGAGAGAGAGAGAGATAGATAGATAGATAGATAGATAATAAAAAAGAAATAGCAATAATAAACTTAACACAGCCAACAGCATGTGAACATGAGCAGAGTTTTAACACCAATTTAATTAAAAAAAAAATTCTCCTTTCCATTAAACAAAGTGTCTAATGTTGAAAGTATTGGGCATGATTCTCAGCCAAGAAGATTTATTATAGGTTTATTATAATGTTAGACATCCATTTGTCTTATTATTTCAGTGTGTCATTATTATTGTTATTGACAACCTGAATATGTTTCTCTTATGTGGGTTTTCTTTGAATTATTCGCTTTTCTATGGTAAATCCAGTGTTGTTTGAGTAGGACTTAAAGGAATGAATAAAATGTTTGTTTGATTTAAACAGTTTCTTATTAATTCAAGAAAAAAAATTTTCTCTAACATCTGCTCTGTTTTTAATCAGTGGATGTGTACATTCTTATCCACACTGAAGTACTTTTACTAATTGAATTTAAAACGATGGAAGGAAACACTGTGATGCCTGGGACATGACGTCCATGTCCTTGTCACTACCAGAGGAAAATATATTTTCAGCATGTTACTGTATACTGTAGTATTTGACCAAATGAAAATCTACTGTTGGGGTCTGAAAACATCAACTGTCTTCTTTAAACTCATAATAACTGGCTTTAATGGTTGTGTCCTTTTTCAGGTGACTCCATCCTCAAAGATTGTGGGTGACTTGGCTCAGTTCATGGTGCAGAACAACCTAACCAGAGCAGAAGTGGAAGAAAGGGCTGACGAGTTGTCCTTCCCTCTGTCTGTGGTGGAGTTCCTGCAGGGACATGTGGGAATACCATATGGAGGATTCCCTGAGCCCTTGAGGACTAAGGTAGATGTGTTTTTATTTATTTTAGCTTTTGCTCTAATATACTGCATTGACCTGAGAGAGCCTAAAATTGGAGGTTTCAATTCATGTGAGCCAATTGAAGCCATTTGATTGTATGAATCAAACTGACATGAATGCAGAAAAGTTTAACATAGACCACGTAAAACATGTCCAATTGGATGAGTGTACATTTGTTGGCAAAAAATGTGACCTTGCCAGTAAACTGGAGTTATTGAAGCAGGTCAAATTAATTTAAGTTTTAATATTTCATTATTTGTATACTGATTGGCAATTGTATTTCCTTATTGGGGAGTTTGCAAGCAAGAGCTGTGAATTTATTGACGTGGGTGGGGGAGTCTTATCTACAAAAGTGGTGCTGCAAAAAAGGTTTAAGTGAATAAGTAAAACTTCAACAACATGATAAATAAGAGCTGTGAGAATGGAATTCCATAAATATTCAGCTATAAAATATATAGCTTTGATTACTGGTAATCAATGAGAGTGTAGGTGTATTACACCAATGGGATCTATGATGTGAACAATCGTGCCTGGTGTTAAATTTTGTAAATTGTTTAAGAAGTTGTGAACTTGAACAGATGTGCCGGCACTGTTAAATGCAACAGAGCGTCCTAATGAGGTGATACTGTGCAGACTGTGGGTGTATTAGTGTGTGTAATCTCAGAAAGGGAATCAGAACCAGTCCAGCATGAGGAAGAAAAGAAAACAGTTCATTAGAAGCAAAGGCTACAAAAAGGTAACGGTAAAGACGTTAGAGAAACTTCTACATACTGTCCTTTCACTGTACTGCACATAACCCACCTCAGCATAGAGCTAAGTGGAAAGAAAAGATGTGCACTGAACCTGTGCAAAACATACACATTCTGTCACATCCAGTGCTGGTTCATTTTTGACAGTTGTATGTCTGTAACAGCAGTAGAGACGACCTTGATCTTTCCCTCTCTGCCTCTCTGGGGGGAGCAGCTCTTGTGCACGTCAGGGACACAGTTTGAGTCCTCTCTGGGAGAGTAGCATGAACAAAGCCTGCTCACATGTGTCATTTCCCAAAGAATGTTATTATATGTTGACGGAGTGTGTGTGTGTGCATGTGTATGTGTGTTTTTCTCTTTTTGATTCCTGTCTTTCTGAGCACTCAAAAGGATATATAGGTGTTTTCAGTACAGTTAAACACATATTGGTACATCTGTGAGAGTTTATATTGAGTCGGAAATACATTTACACAATATGAGGAAAATAAAGCACAGTTTAACCAGAACAATGTTAAGTTTTCAGCTACTTTTGTTGTCAGTTTAGTGTGTCAGGTGAATTTCATTACCTGTTCAGAATAAAGTATCTGCCAGTTTTCCATTCCATCCGTCCCCTCTGTATATCTCTGTGAATTAACTGTTATCCTGTCGCAAGTTGTCATTTCCTCCATCCCCTCAGACTCGCAAAACACTTTTATTATTTTATTTTCATGTTTTCATTGGGCTCTCTCACAACCTCACCATATTTCATGTTTGACAAAAACTCCTCTAGTCAACACACATATTACCTCAACCCAAACAGCAGCAGCTTACTGTGCTGAAATGCAGGTGTTTCTTTTTTTCCTCTGGAGCCTCATTCACCTTGACCTGTTCATGAGGTGTTGTTTTCTGCTTTGTTGAATTCGTGGTTAATCCACAGGAAGCTTATTAACTGTCATAAAAATATCAGAACACTGTTTGTTTTCCCCACCCATAATCCACACTCTTCTCTTCTCTTCTCTTGAAGTCTTCCTCCTTAAGGTTTATCCAAACTCAGTCTACATCTGTTTTTCAAACACTTTAAATTGGAACCAAGTGAAAAGGTTTTACTGAAGCCTCACTCCAGCCCTGATTCACTGCTGCATCGTTGTTAATAGTAGAGAATGTCAAGGTTTTGACCCTGATAGGATTAGTGTAAATCTTTTACATAATTTCATTTTTTTTCTTTATATCAAAATGGAAATACAGCCACTTAGTCTCATTTGCATTATTACATGGAATAGTGTAAATAGAATTCATAGTTAGTTACCAAAGTGTGTTAAACCAAAGTGTAGTGAACCATAAACTGTTATCTAAGTGTGTTAAATAATGGTCTGCTTGACAGGAGTAGATACTCCTAAAAGGTTTTTTACAATGTAGGTCCATAAAGGATGAGGTGTGTTTCTCATCAAGTATGGGAATCGGATGAACTTTGCCCTGGGAGTAAAACTCAAAGAAAAAAGCAACTGCCCAGTACTTGGGAAACTTTCTCAATAAAAGGAGCTGTAGTCCTCATATATTTTGGGGACTTCTCTGTGAAGCTCTGTGAAGCTGTTGGTCTCTCTGCTCCCCCTCGCAGTGAGTAAAAAGTACAACGTTGTCAGGTGTGGTTCTTTTCAGGTCATTCTATCTGTGGCAGTTAGATGACAACAGTGGTGGCTGAATAACGTAATTTTCGGCACCAACAAATAGTAATAGTGCTTTTGTGCCTCTGGTTCAGTGTATACTCCATCAGCAAAGAATAAGTATGTGCTTTGTTTAACCTGAGCCTTGGCATTACGTCACAGTCCTTTCCAGATTTCATTAAAATGTCTCACACGTTTCTATAAAGCGTAGTTCGTCACACATAGCCTGCACAAATAGAGAAAACTTTTGAAGACACCACAGTAAATTCCTGCTCATTTGCTCATCTTTGCTGTGTCACATTTGGCTCATTTGCGGTGTGGGAGGACGGAGCCAACGCATACAGTGGAGGAAAACAACAAAGACAGGAGGGCAAAAGAGACACAGTGGGAGGATGGACGGGAAAATTGTTGTAAAGAGACCAATTGTGAAGGTCATCGGAAAAGACGGTAATCTGAAAAAAACAAGATTATTGTTAGAAATATAGCACCACTCCTTATAGGCCCACGCTGAAAGAGGAATCTGTGACGAGACGAGAATAGGCTCTGCAGTGTATTGTAACTAGGAAAATTGACAGACAGTATTCACCTGGGAGAGTTTTTCTTCCCTTAATTTGTTAATGCAGTCAGTAACCTTTTTCTCTAACGCACACACACACATGCTCGCCATCCATCTGTCTCACACTCAAACAATCAGGCAGTTTAGGTGGAAGACGTCCTTAAAGGACACAATGCTAATGAGGACGGACCCAAATGAGCCTGCCACCTTTGAAGTGCTTCTCTCTCACACACAAATGAGTCAGCTTTCTTTGAACTCTTAGCTGTGTGACTAATAGCATTGCACTGGGCCCTTTGTGAAGAGATTTTCTGCAAGTCGTGCGGCTGCACACACACATGCTCTCAGTGCTGTGCCAATACATAACATAATAACCCAAGATGAGCGAAGATATAAAACACACAGTGAATTTAATTTTGCAGGAACAGAGACTATTGAAATGTGTATAACACCACTGTCTACACAGGAGACCCGAATCCCTCAGTGTGTTTGATGCTTGAAACGAGTTAGCACAAACTTAAAGAAATTCAGTCAGAACTAAATCTAGGCTAATGTTGCTAGCCAGTAAAGCTTCACTCATTTTTAAAAACAGACTGTTGAAAGTATAATCAGCAAGTGGTGAATTAATCATGCTCCAGTTGAACAAGAGTAGATTGAGCTCCCAACCACATTTGTCGAAGCACCAATGTCTTCTAAATATAGCCACTAAATCCAGACCAATCAGTGGGCTCATGTTTATTTACTCTCAGAGATGGGTCTGGTCCCTCTCCTGCTCACACTGATTACAATCTGTCCTGAAATGGTTTGGGATGATCACAGTCGTGTGTCTGTTAACACAGAGGGTTCATTGGTGGACACAGGTGCAGAGTTGAGGGAACACTGTTTTATGGTAGAGTCTGCACGGCAGTGGTGATGTGTTGTTGTCCCTTTGGCTTCATATTCTTTAAATGAATATTTTCTTTCCACATCTTACAAATATAACCCCCCCCCCCCCCACACACACACACACACATTATTTGTCCATGCGGTGATTCGGAACAGTTTTTAGCTGGATGCCTGGATTCCGGATGCATGTGATCCCTCTCAGCAGACGGGCCAGACTTCCCTCTTCCTCCACCTACACAATCCCCTGGCCCAGACATTATGTGTAGCCTCAGACCAACTGTCTGTTTGGCTTTTGTCAGATATTGCGTGGGCAGAAACAAGTGTCATCCCATTTATCATCTACTTTACGCAGCCTCGTCGTTATCCTGTCTCTTTCCGCCTTTCTTCCTGTCTTTGCGGCTTCCTCGGTCTTCTTCGCTGTTTGTAATGAAGAACAGGACTGATGTGTCAAACATGCCGCAGCACTGCAGTCATTAAATGGGCGATCATACTTAGAGATGAGGAAGGGTGATGTTAAAGAGAGTTGGTGGAAACTATAGGGAAAATGGCTGCTCGGCACAGCAGCAGTGCTACTTTTATGCAGATTCAAAAATACCATGCATTAATAAGTCTCCTATTTCACCTGACTTATTCTCAGCTTTTTTCTCTGCACATTAAATTGATTTAATGTCTTCCTTATCGTCCCACCAAGAGTGTCAGTCTTTCAGAAATTGACAGTTCTGCAGCTTTGAAGATCTCAGCAGCTGCTTTAATTGCATGTCCCACATGCTCTGTAGTCCAATGAGGACGTTACAAGGAAAATCACCTTCAGCACTACTGTGCTGCTAGGCAGTGAAAGGAATACTAGAGTTTTCTGTTTGTTTTGTTTTCCTGCCTTCAGATGTATTCACTTTGACCTTTCTGAATCTACTTCCTTTGTCTCACAGGTGCTGAAGTCTCTTCCTCGTATTGAGGGCCGTCCTGGTGCCAGCCTGCCACCTATGGACTTCAAAGCACTGGAGGAGGGTCTCCGGGCTGCACACGGTGATGACATCACTCCTGAGGATGTGATGTCAGCAGCTATGTACCCCAAGGTGTTCCAGGAATATAAAGAATTCACTTGTAAGTTCACAGATGTGAGAATGATATTGGTTTTTAGATCTTAATCCAAATGTAATATTCCCTTAACCACCATAAGATTATTGAGTTTATTTAAGCCATTAATTTTTAAGAAAAAAAGAAGCATTGACCACCAGAACACTCTTTGTTTTTCATTATTGTTGAGGCTTTAAATGAACACCATGCAGTCTTTAATCAGAGATACGTATTATCCTGTAGTTGGGCTATTTGATTGAGATGTTTTTAAATGTATTAAACCAAGGACAGCAATTCATCAGATTCTACCAAAAACAAGAAAGAAAAAGGTTGTTGAACCCCAGAGCGGTTTCACCTGTCAGTCATTTGGTGAATTTACATAATTTACAAATAAGACATGAGTGCAGTAAAGATTGGAGCTGGAGGGAAAATTCCGTAAAACCACTAACTGCATTTTTTAGCAGAACACTCAGACATCGTTATGTACAGGAAACAGACTAGACTGATACTGGAGGTTTAACGGGGCGAAGCTAAATGGTCTGAAGGAAAAAAACTTTCTTCAGTGATTCGAAATAAATGCTTTCAGAACAAATAGCATTCTAACTACAGTAGTTAACAATTTTTGTTTTCATACAATTTTGATTTTTCGATTTTTGTGTTCCTGTATTTCCATATTCCAAAATTTATGATGGCCACTTCATGTCTTTAGCTACCTTTGGCCCAGTGGACTGTCTCAGCACCAGGCTGTTCCTGGATGGACCTAAGATCGCTGAGGAGTTTGAGGTACTTGTCTTTTCTAACTTTTGAAACTTTATCTACTGGTGAGAGTGTGTTCATGATGTAGTGGAGTTAATTTTGAGCAAAACTAAACAAATAATATCCAATTTCACAATTTCAGTTGGTCTGAAAACTATTATTTATTCACTGCAAATAGTTTGTCTTTTGTGGTAAGCTGACAGTGAAAGGTGGAACAAGAATTACTCTACAATGAGGCAACAGGTGGCTTTAAAAACTAGAAAAAAGAAAATCTTTGTGTGTCTTACATTAATTCCTGCCATTATAATATTGTTGTCAGAAAGTAACTTACGAATAAATACATTTTTGTTTGGTGATGGGCCAGGGTAATTTTAGATAAAGATAAAAATATGTGCTATGCCTCCAAAAAACGTTAGTCAATGTTGGTCTGAAAAATCCATAAAAACTGTCTCTAACTTCAAGGCCTGGGGACTTTATTCAAGTACTTCAAGTACTTTACACTCTAACAGCTTTACAGTTTTATGATTAAATGATGCCCATAGTACATAAACTACGAATATTACTACGACCATTTTCTGGGCACCTCTTTGCAGTAGCCACCTCCTCTTAAACTATTAGATTTTTTTTTTTTTATGTTTTCACTCATACAATTGGACATGCTGAGACAAACAACATTTGTAATTATACTGGATAAAAATAAAAACGTACACATTCCATCTTTACTGCTGTGATGTGTAGACATGATCAGCAGGACATGATATTTTTATCACTGCAGATGGTGGTGGTTGGATGCAGTTTGGTGCAGAGGCTCAGTGAACAACACGGAGGGGACTGAGATATTAACACTTTATCAAGATAGGTCTTCCTGCACAGACATATCAGATTCATTCTGTCATATGAGTTTGAGAGCGAGCCAGGGAGAGGCACTGAGGGACAATATTTCAGAGCTGAATAAAACTGTTATGGATTTCTGAAACCTATTCTGTTTGCTTACCAACAGTGAGGCATTGGAAAATGATTTCCAATGAAGGAATAAAACAAATGAGTTTACTTTGCACGAAAGCAGCGCCAGAATGCAGCCAAGCCGCAAAATTTAGAGCTGACATGCTGCGGAAATTATTAATGCCCAAAAGGGAAGTCATTTTTTATTTAACTCCAAACTGTTACATAAGCAGAAGCAGCAAGCTGTAAATTGGTTTTAATGCATGTGAATGTACATTCAGTCTGCAGTTGTTGATGGAAAGCTTGTGTCAGAAAAGAAGACAGCAGCTGAAAAGATGCTGTTTAATCCAGGAAAGATGCGTAAATATTACATTGCAGGGGAGGACGGGGGAAAAACTCACAGGAAAGTCAGAATGAAGACATTTGTCAAATTTAGACAGATAAAAAGAAATCCAAAGGATGGAAGGGCGGAAAATAATCATTGTATAAGATATAACATTTAATGAAAGCAAAGAAGTGCGTTTGCACTCTGACCACAGCTCGTCTAAATATCCTCTGTCAACATTAGAAGGCATTTATAAGGGAATGAGTATTTCATTAGTAAATTCTTTAACAATGAGGTTGATGCAGTTAGATAAAAAAACAAAAACTTTCCATCCTCTTCGATCCACTTTCCTTTCCATGTCGTTTCCATGACTTTTTTGTGGCGGAGTGTTCAGTCGGACACTGTGTGTGTGACCAGATGGCGGTGGTAAGACAGGTCAGAGATGGTGACAGTGAAATATTTGACTGCAGTGCTGCTCTGACCTGCTGTCATATTTTTCTCAGAGTTTTTTGTCAAGTCAGGCAGTAACTTTTGAACTGCCTGTGTCCAATCCAGTGAACAAGTAATGTTGAAGGTTTGGTATTAATTTCTACTCCAGTAATATTAAATCTGCAGTTTCTGAACAGGCATGCTACTAATGGTGATGATTTTAACAAGGCTAAAACCTTTAAATTAAAGCCAGTCCTATTCTATTCCATTACATTCTGCTCTAGTTGATGGTCCAGTCATAGATGCTACTTGGTACTACAGTAGAATCACTGGTCACATGGTTGCCCTGGTGACACAGACAGCTGTGGTTGATCAGGCTACGTCTTCTGTTCCCTTACATCTCCCCACGGACGTCCAAATGGAGACATTTTGAGGAGCTTTTCGCTGACTTGCCGATGTTCATGTCAGCTCCGCTCTTTGCCACCACGGTGATAAGTTGGCCTGAGGCTTTCTAAAGTGATTTGCTCCATAAATCCTCTGCATCCGTCCTCGGTGGACGAGCCTCTTTGCTTCCAGCCATGCTCCTGGCAGTCAAAACCATTCTTCATACTCGGCCCTGCTGTTTCCACACACTTCCCTGATATAATCCTCCCTCACCAGCCACTTGCACTGCAGTTCTGTTCTTGGTGGCCACTCGTCCTGGCCTGGAGATGTCACAGTGTGAACCTAAACTGGCTCATTCCGGTGCAGTTGTCATGACCTCTAATGTTGTCATCACTTCTGCCTGCTCACCTGTTTCCTCCAAAGTGAATCTCTGTGTGGAGGTCTGGGCCTCTGTGCAGCTGCTGATTCTTTTGGCGTCTGCTGTGCTGTTGCACCTGACTCTAGTGCCAGCTCTGTTCTGGGCAGGAGCCCAGGATGTGCTCCAGTGTTCCCTCACTGAGCCACTTTGCCCGAGGTAAAGGGGTTTGAAGAACTCCGCAGGACTTTGCTTACTTCCTGGATCCAGAAAATGATGCATTGTGCTTCAGCTCGCCAAATACCTGCCCATGAAATCCTCCAATCCATGGCTTTCCATAACCTTATTTAGACTCCGACGATGGCTCACACTCACAGCTCTCTGATCGCTTTGTCCTCAATCAGTGTTCTATATATGGCACCTAACGCAGTTGGAATGAAAACAGGTCATGCTAATTTTGCACTTTTTGTTCTGTAGTAGACACTGAAGAATGTGGTTGTGTAACAGTTTTGGCAGAAGGCTTTCTCTTCACAAAAGTGAGACCTCTGTGGTGTGCATGTTGAAAAGACACTTGTGGACATTCTGCTGATTCATTTTCAGAAACAAAATGATGGTTTTGCTGTGAACAAATTGATTATTTTTATTGGAGTTGTTTCAAGTCAACCTACCTTTTGCACAAAGCTGAGCTGCTGCTGTATAATTGGTTTGTCATTTGCATATTTTCCATTTAGTAACAGCCCCTACTGAAATGTGATATGAGGAGGGTTAGCAGATACTCTAGCTAAAAGTGTATGAAACCAAGTAGTCTTGAATAGACTACCAAAGGCAGAGGCCAAGGACAGTGGGCTGGGCAGTGGTGGCTTAGTGGTTAAGGGAGCGGTCTTGGGTCTGGAAGGCTTCAGGTTTGAGTCCTCCAGCTGCCAAGTTACCACTGAGGTGCTCTGGTACCATGGCACTGTCCCCACACACTGCTGCCCTGCACTTAAAGCTGCCCACTGTTCACTTTGGTGATGGGTTAAAGACAGAGGTCAGATTTGGTTGTGTGCAGCGGTGAGCTGTGTCACAGTGACAAGGAGTTCACTTTCACTTGCCTCCTTCCAAAGAAAATGCAGTTCTGATGTTAAACTTGTGTCAAGGTGTCATCCTGTTACAGAATTATAGCTTGTTGTCTTTATATATATATATATATATACATATATATACACACACGCACGCACACAAAATATCCTGTAGGAAACCTTGTAAATGCAAGTTACGTTATTATCTGAAGTCTGCCTCTTTTTTAAATAATTTTCCATATTATAAATCTAAAAATATGTAGTCTCTTCAGTGTTGTTTTCTTAGTACTTTTTCCTTCTGACATTGTGAGTAAAACACAAGTGCACATGGGGTCCACATTACTTGACAGAGGCTCACAAGGGCGGCCGTGCCTAATTACAGCAGAAGCAGCAGAATGGCTCTAGACCAATGTTAATTGATTATTATAATAAGAAACATGGTGGGCAGCCACCACTCTGCTTTATTGTTCTCATGAACTGCACTGATGGGGGTAATTTTGAAGTGACCCAAAACATAAACAGCACCTGGCTCGCCTTTCAAAGCACCAATCTACGAGCCGGACAATAAAACACTAAATGTCTCACATTAATGCAAAGTCAGGTCGAGTCAGGTTCCCAAAACACATTTAGCCTCGGTGGACCTGGGTTTTTAACATGTCTTCGTGCCACTTACTAGTTTTCTTATTAAGGACCAAAGACTGTGACTGTTGAACGCAGCAATTGAACAACAAATGTATTGAAATCAGTACAAAGTGTTTTGTTTCTAATGCTATGTAAAAGGTCTGGAGAATAATAGGAAGGGAAGCTAATCTTTTATGCTTTGTATAAGATTACTAGTATATAGTGTAGTAAAACTGTTTTAGCTATTTTAGATGTTTGTGTTTGTACACATTAAATTCAGTTTTTATAGTCTATCTGAGACAAAGAGCCAGGAGCTGGTTTTTATAGTCTATCTGAGACAAAGAGTGTGCAGTGTGCAGGTTACAAATTTAGCTAAAAGGGCTCATAAGCAAAAAAAAATGTGAAAAAAAAAAACCTGTCCCTGATGTACTTCAGAAAGAGAGCAGTGAGCAGAGGAGTTACTTAATGTTATGCAGTCTCAAAATTGCATGCCAGCAATTCTTGCACATGCAATGAACCATCAATTTGTCATCAGCCTATTTTTCCTGCTGTTTTTGACTGAACTTGGAGTCACACTAATCTCGTTCTCTACGTCACAGCCGCACCAACAAACTTGTTCCTGTTGTCATGATAAAAGTTAGCGCCCACAGTCTGTTTTATTTAGTGACCACAGGCAAGAGATGGATTTTTAATCAAAATATGTAAGACATGTCAAACAGTCCTAGTAATATTCCCTATTTATCCTTCACTGTGTGGAGTACAGTGATTGCAGCAGATGTTGATGCTGTTAATGAAAGTCACACTGATGACTACTTTATTAGAAGACGCCTGTTCCATCAGCTGCATCATAAAGGTTTTTATTTAATAATGTCCACCTGAGCATCAAGGTCAAAGTCTTTGATTGGACCGTGTGCGATATTCTGCATCTTTATGAGGAGCGGGATGAGAAATTAGATGTTGGATGTTCCAGTTGAAGTGTGAGTGCTTCCAACATTAACCATCAGACATGGTTAATGTTGGGTGTCTGGATGGTCTGGTTTAGTTTTCTATACCTACACTGATCTCAGTAGTCAGGGAGATGAGGAGTACTGCAGAGTATTAGCACGGAGGGGCCAGAACATTTTAGTGCTGTTTGTAAATGAGTCATGTTTCTTTAGTCAACACTTAAGACCTGAATCCAGTTTGAACACTTGATCTTATATTAGAAACTGCCTTACATAGTTGACTGTCCACTGAACTGTGACATCATGTACAACACCTTCCTTATCGATTTAGCCAGTGTTCAGACCAGTGTTTCTCAAAACTCCCACAGTATGCAACCAAACAATGTTGTGAAAAGTATGTGAAGAAATATAACACTCTCAATTAGATCAATTAGCTCACTATTTACTATCATAGTGTAAAACCCAGGCCTGTTTAGTTGTACACAATGCTGATATTGTCACAGGAATTAAAGTACAAGACACACAAATACATCTTCAGCAGAAGTACAAGACACACAAATACATCTTCAACAGAAGTGTATTATTATTATTATTATTTTATTTGCGTCTGACAAGAGAAGAGTATTTAATAAAACAAAATATTTGAGTTTTACCTTCTTTAGATTTAGACTTTAGATTATTTAGAAATTGGTTAAAGTACATCAGAATAATTGCTGCTATCTTAACACAACACATCCACAGGGTGATCGTTTGCCGTGTGCTGATGGCTTATGATATTAATCTTTGATAGAAATGTAAGCAGACCAAACATGGACACAGTCATGCCCACAAGTGGGTCAGTACTGTAGTTAACGTCGACAGAAAGAGTTCAGTGTTTGAACATTTAAAAAAAAAAGTGAAACTGATGACACAGCACATTATAAGTAGCGACGTTCAGCATATACGGCATATAAAGTGTAGGTAGGTAAGGTGGAGACTGTGATTAGACATAATCAGTTCAAGGAACTTGTTTTGGAAGTGTTTAGGTAAAAAGTGTTTTTTCTTTTTATTCTCACTTTACCCGTATGCAAAGTCTTTGCCCTGACTGATGGATGTGGCATGCTGCCAGCCTTGAACTGGAAGGAAGGTTTTCATAGATGAATGTGGAAGTGAAAAATTGTACTTGCTCTCGCTTTGCTGTCACATAAACTTAGGAATATTTCAGTCAGCAACGTGTTCGTTCAGCTGAGTCTACAAATTCACACAGTGTCGCATTCTTATTCTAAGCTTCTGCGGAAGGAAGAAAATAGTCTCCTTTAAAATTACCTGCAAAGTTCGGCATCCATTCAGACGGTGTAAAACAATATGTAAAGCTTGTTAACTAGTTTACCATCATTTGGGCCATAAATATTTAATGAGTGGTTGTGTGTAAATGATTCCTACTGTCAGCACATGCATTATGATGAAATAACCAAATTACGGGCAAGGGTTTTAATATTGAATGAGTCAAAAACCAATATGTTAACAATATGGTAACTTTTGTTGTTAAAAAAAAGGCATTAGTGCATAGTTCTGTTCCTTCTTCCTGCCATGCACTTAACTCGATGCAAACTTTGTCAAATTATTTTATTTAAATAGTTGCAGAAAATACTTGACACAGGTCGATAAACCTTTTATACAGCTATCTTTATTATGAAGGCTATTAATTAAATTGCAGCATAAAGAGGCAGTGTGCTGGAAACACAGTGTGATACTAGTATGTGTGGGAGGCAGGAGGATGTGTCTGCTTCATAGAAACCAGAGTCTTGGTACATGGTAGATATTAATACCACGAATGGCACTGAAGTTTTATATCAAAATTAAGCCCATATATGTATTTATATATGTTTATATATATGTAAATATGTTCTGTATATATGTATGCCCATAGGGTATATACTATTACTACATACTTGTATAATGTTTTTTAGGTGCATGTTACACTTACTAAGCTACTTAGATACACCATTTTTGTTTTTGCCAAAAGCTGCAAGGGACCTGATCCGACAGAAGAAAAGACATTCAGAGGAAGGTGTATTGTTACTGGAGAGAGAGGATAAGAAACGGATAAAAGTCACTATCCACAGAAAAGGCGCAGTGAAGCTTAGATCAATACATACCTGCAGTGCCATGTATTTTTGTCTTTGCTCTAAGACTCAGTCTGGAATATCAATGGAGGCTCAACAGCTGAGATGTCAATGTGGGGAAACAAAAAGGATGGGAGGGGATGAGTTAGTGTGGAGAGGTGTAGCGACAGAACAGGATGGAGTAAAACAAAGGCAGACATCCGCAGGAAAAGGAGTCCAAAGAACCAGAGGAAGAAAAATTAATGTTGTGAGGAAAAAAATAGCTGTGAAGAAACGGCGAGACAAAATAGAAAGCTGTGACTCACGGGAGGACTGACAAAGACGGCTGACAAATGGGAAGACCAAAAAAATGACCTTAAGACCTCAGATATGAAAGGTGTGAGATAAATGAGGGAGTAGAGTGACAGTGTCCTGGGGAACAAGTTGAAAACAGCAGGGACCACAACTGATGAAATTAAAGTGTTTTGTCGGCACCAAGCCCAGGCAGTGGTCCTAATACTGGGATTCCACGTACTATATCTCCTGAATACAGCCGAGGTGCCTGGTGCAGTCACAGACTTGAGGAAGTACATCCTAGATTCATGTTGAAGCATTTTCATTGGTCTAACTGACAACACTTAGCCTGTTCGATGCTGTTGAGACATTTTCATCATGTTATTAATAAGGCCTGTAATCTAATTACTGTCACACAATTATGAGGGAAGACTCCAGAGGAGCAGCTTCATCCTCTCTCTCCCCCGTTCAAAATGCAACTGTCTTCTACAATTAAGTCAAAGTCACACTAATGGGCAGCTAATAAAAGCAGACAGGGAGCCACTAGTGTGATGTCAATGAGCAGCTTTATTTTCCAACCCTTAGACAACGTGCATCCTGGGGATTGTGACAACACACTGTGTGAGTGAAAGTAGAAGAGAAGGGAACATCCTGCCGCCAGTAACTGTTTAATTCATCAGCCTCTGTTTTCATTGCTTCAGCTGGATGAGTGAAGATTCTAATATAGTCCCTGTCCTTTCCCCTTTTCTCCTTCTCTTCTTTTGTCTACACATGTTTCACTCCTCTTCTAACACTCCCTGGCTTTGTTTCATCACAGGTGGAGCTGGAGCGAGGGAAGATCCTCCACATCAAGGCTCTGGCTCTGGGTGACCTGAACAAGGCTGGGCAGAGAGAGGTCTTCTTTGAGCTGAACGGACAGCTGAGATCTGTGCTGGTCAAAGACACCGTTGCCATGAAGGTATTAGTAGTCACTACATTATTTGCCTGTCTTTACACCAGCTACGGTAAAAACAAAGTACTCGGTCTACCTTTACAAACTATTCTATTAAATTCCTCTTAACATCATGAAGAAAAACCAGGAGAATCCACAGAATATGAAAGACTTCTGATGTCTTTACATTTCAGCCAAGTCTTACCTGCTCACCTAGAACCCTTGGACGTTTGACATCTGTGATCTTGTTAGTATTAGTTGTACACCAAACCCAGTCTTCAATTCTCAAAATATTTAAAATCACTGTCTTGACAGTACCATTGTTTTTGTAAATATTCTAATGCAAAGTGGATATAAACATACATGTACACACTGTACATGTCAAATCACAACTGTGATGGAAAAAGAAATGACAAAGCTACAGAATATTTCCTTTAATGAGAGGTATTATTGATATAATTCAAATTCAAAAACGAAATCTGTCAAGGAAAGAATATAAATGTAAATGTAAAAGCTGGTTGAAACAGTGATTACACCCCCAAACTGATACTTTGATTGATTTAATTTAGTCAGAAGTCAACATCATTCCCATTATTTACACGCCCTGGTCATCAAAAACATTCATTGAGGGTTGTCTTTTGTTCACTTCTATATTTTAGAATGGCTAAAGTATAGAAGTGATAAACCTGTGAACTTTGAACTAATGCTTATTTCTCCTCTGTAGTACCTTACCCAGCTCCATTGATGGAATCCTCACTGTCGTAGCTCAGGGGTTGATGCATTTTGTACAATGTTGAGTCGAACCATGGCTATCCAATGAGCTACTCAGCCACTGAGAGAAAGTTCAATGAAACACGTACATGATGATGAAACTGGTTCCAAGCTGTAGAGAAGAAAAGGTGTGATTCATGCAAAGTTTAACAAAGACACCATGGGCTATTTGAAGACCATGATTGAATCTCCTGGTTTTACTTCACATCACTGCCTTTCAAAGCTGTCTTCTAATCACTTGAACTCACAGTGCATATGCGCACTGGTTCCACACTTTACAGCTTTTACATATTAACAATAAATGCTACATACAATAACCAATTAGTATAATGTTTGACCATTTACGTTGTTCAATCAAACACCGTTTCCTTTCATGGCTGAAATGTGATGTTTACAAAGAAGCATATAAAGCCATAGAATTCTGTGGAATTTCAAATACACAGATTAGTAAATGGGGAGAGTGATGCACTTGTCAGATGACTGACTGGACCAATGAATGATATGTTTCTTTTTGTCTGTTCACCCAGGAAATGAAGTTCCACCCCAAGGCTCAGAAGTCTATCAAGGGTCAGGTGGGAGCTCCAATGCCTGGAAAAGTCCTGGAGGTCAAAGTGGAAGTTGGATCCAAGGTCAGTTTAATATTAGATTTCTATTTCCCTAACATTTCTGTGTTTTATTACTTTTGACTTTATATGAGATTAGGTTTAAAGGTTCAGTTCAGCCAAAATAATGTAACTCAGCATGCTTACCCTTGCAAAGGCTGATCACATCCATCCTGGCCAACAGGATGTTAAAAAATTTAGATTGTAATATTTAAGTACATTTATTGATTTATCTTCAACTTTAAGGCTGGTAATGCTGCTGATCGATGGGAATAGTAATAACGATGCAGCTTTAAACGTGTGACTGCATTGTTAATGTTTGTAATAGAATATTATTATTATTATTATTATTATTATTATTATTATTATTATTATTATTATTATTATTATTATATGGTTGTGCTGGTAGATTGTGGAAGACATGTAGACATAGTTTCTCAGCTGCAGATTCCTGTAATGTAATTGTGTTTAAATCCAGTTAACAGTTGTCACTGTTAATCACCAAACAAAGGCACTGTACCCCACAGATGAAGTGACAAACTCACAGGAGAAACTTAGTTGTTCAGTTTAATTCATTATTTAAAAACTGCACATCATAGTCCATCATGTTGACAATACAGTACAGGAGAATACAACATAGTTATTGTACTGACAATCTACTAACGTTATGGTAAATATCAATAAGTGACTCTAAAATTTGTAATGATTATTAATTATTACCATTTTTATAGTCAATTCATCACCATTTCACAGAAAACCGTTTTTTTTTTCAGCACTAATAATTAGTTATGTCAAATTAAAACCTGTGCCTTGTTTATGTGAAATACAGTAGCAGTGGTGCTACAAGGTGTATTAATACTACTGCTACTCTTACTACAGTACTCTCAAGGGGGTCACTAGTTATCAGTGTGGAAGAAGTCAATTCAATAATGATAAAGAGTTACAATTACGTGAATGACATCAGAAGTGATTGCAGTATAATAACATGTTGGTGATCTCCAAAGCAGTTTTAAAAGTAGTCAACTGGACTCACTTCAAGTAAGTTGAAGACTTTCTCCTCTCACCCAGGCTTCAGCAGTTTTACTGTCCTGGTGGGGAGTTCCCAGGTATTTATCCTCCCCAAAGGGGGGGTGATGTCGAGTACTTTACTCGACATCCCCCCCCCCCCCCCCCCCCCCCCTGGTGGGAGGGTGTCAGTCGTTGGCCCCATGGTGGATCGTTCCCCCTCCCTGTCCTCTGGGTGGGGGCCGTTGGTGTTACTTAAATGGAGGTGTGAGTTACGTCTGTACTTCCTGGGGAGAGAACTAAGGACGGCATTTTGGTTGGTGATAATTGGTGTCTGAGGTCCCCTCCTCTGTTTAAAGATGGTATTTCCAGTTTGACATGAATGGCTTCCTTCACCCCTCTCTCAAACCACCTGTCCTCTCTGGCTAGAATGCACACCTTTTGGTCATCAAAGGAGTGGCCCTTCTCCTCCAGGTGGAGGTGGACTGCTGAGTCCTGGACTGATGGTGTGGCCCTCCTGTGTTGAGCCATACGTTTGTCTAATGGCTGCCTTGTTTCCCCTATGTACAGGTCAGTATTCCTTGTTGCTCTGTTTGTGACTGGCAACCGTGTCCAAAGGGTGGACAGGTTTCTGCCTCAGTGTGTCGCTGGGCTCGAAATGCACCGTGATCTGGTGGGTGTTAAAGAGCCTCCCGAGTTTCTATGAAACTCGTTTGGGCTTCATCTTTCTTCTTCACATACACACAGCACTCCAGAACTGTGGCTATCCAAACTGGGTGTTTGCTAAAACTGCCAAGAAGCCCAGCAAGGAGAAGAAAGATGAAGCCCAAAAGAGAAACATCTCTGTCATCCCATACAGGATGGTTTCATAGAAACTCGGGAGGCTCCTTAACACCCATCAGATCCCGTTGCATTTCAACTTGTCCACCCTTAGGACACAATTGCCAGTCACAAACAGAGCAACAAGGAATGCTCTGACCTGTGCATAGGGGAAACAACTCCTTTGATGACCAAAAGGTGTGCATTCTAGCCTGAGAGGACAGGGGGTTTGAGAGAGGGGGTGAAGGAAGCCATTAATGTCAAACTGGAAACACCATCTTTGAACAGAGGAGGGCACCACAGACACCAATTATCGCCAACCTACAATGCTGTCCTTAATTCTCCCCCCAGGAAGTACAGATGTAACTCACACCTCCATTCAGGTAACACCGACGACCCCCACCCAGAGGACAGGGATGGGGATAAATAACTGGAAACTCCCTCCCAGAAAAGTAGAACTGATGATTAGATGAGAGAACTTACTTTAGGTGAGTCCAGATGTCTACTTTAAAACTGCTTTGGAGATTATGAAGACCTGGATGACTCAGAATATCCACAAATAACATGTCGGTGCTACAGAGGTGACTTCCTCTGCTGCTGTTACTACATCAGTCCAGGAGATACGTCTACCACCAGATGTGCTCTAGTTTCTCCAGTGTTTGTTGCCCACAGTCTTCCAGCTGATGTCTGTCAATGAAAGTACATAAAAATACAGTCAATGAATTTAAGATGATTTGTTTTCTGGTGCTTACAACAATAAAAAATGTTAACTTTTTTAAGCCAAAGAAAACAGTACTATTTACAAATCGGAACACCAATCCATAAGAAATGTCACACATGACTCCAACGTATTAGTGTGGACAGAAATCTCTGACTCCAACTTAGCTAGCTCTAGCAACCTAAACTGTACATCTTCCATACATTTACAGTGAGACAGTTACTTCATGTTCCATTATCAAGTGTGTGACTCTTGTTAAAACTCACCTTCAGTTGCTGTTCTGTGAACCGCACATTTGACACTGTGTCTGTAATGTTCTGTGAACCACCTCTATTATCTTCAAAGGTGGAGAAGGGTCAGCCGCTGTGTGTTCTCTCAGCCATGAAGATGGAGACGGTGGTCAACTCCCCACTGGCTGGGACCATTAAGGCTGTCCATGTCACGGCTGACGCCTCCCTGGAGGGAGATGACCTGATACTGGAGATCGAGGAGTAGAGTGAGAGGAGGAGGGGGAGAAGAGAAAGAAAAGAGAGACAAAGTTATAACCAATCTGACTAAGAAATGGTGACAAGTGTAGAACACGGAAGCCAGATGCAAATCATCCATTTTGTATATAGTTTGTCTGCAATGACAAAGCACATAATAAAGTTACGTAAAAAAAATGCATTTGGTGAATAGTTACTTGGTGAATGTCACCTGTACTGATACTCATCCATTCCCTACATGTGGTGATTAGATCAAAGCTAAAAAAAACCTAAATATATTCTAGCAACGTATGTGTACACACATATATATACCGTACACACACATATATATACTATATATACTATATATAGTGTATACATATAGTATAAAATGCAGTATACAGTTACAGTTTCACAGTTACTTATGTCTTAAATGTGTCTTAAAGTCTTAAGTGTTGACTAATCATGTGTGACAACTGTAGAGCATACCATCATCAACATGACCACATCTGACATAAGTACATTCTAGGAATGTGAATTAACTCATAACCCTGTTATTTTTATATGAAAAACAAAACAGCATCACAATCATTGCTGGACAAAGGCTACTGCATTTGTCCAAAATATCATATGAATATTTTCACAATAAAAGCACAAAATAGATTTTCATTCTAGATTTACCACTACACTATATAAAACCTGATTATTACCCAACGGTTATTAAGTCAAGTATCCAGCCCACTTCTGCCTCTCCTCAAAACTCCGCTGCTAAAGTGTTCTACACATTGTTAAACAAAGCAGTAGGCCTCATCAGGAACACCAAAAACAGGATTACAGAGGTGACATTTACAAAGTATCTGGGTTTAAATGTGGTTTAGCTAATCCCAGTCCAGCAGTAAGGTGACTTAATGAAAGCCACAGGAACTCTGTTCAGTCATGTCAGATGTGTAAAGTGCCAGAGAATCTCTGGTGTGATTTGGTAGGAGTTTGTTAGATGAGCTGCCCCCACTGTTTCTCCAAAACCCTGACTCACATTATGGTGAAAGGTCCCTGTGTCTGTCAGTGTGGGTTTATTCTACATGTTAATGGGATCACATGGCAGTGTAACAGACATGTAGTGTTTTCTGAAGCACTGCTGATTAATTTACAAATTCATTTCCCATTAAATGATGTGGAATTAGGCAAATGAGAGCCTCTCAAGACTCCAGTATCAGCAGCACAGAGCTTTATGACTCAGATGTTTGTCAAGAATCAGTGAACATCAATGAGTCTCAATGTTGTGTGTTACAGCAAGTTCTCAGACAGAGTGGACCAGTCACCATAATGTTGCGCACATACAGAATAAATATGAACACACACACACACACACATTTAGGCAGACAGACCCACAAAAGCTAAACAATGATAGTGACACTAGAACACATTTAAGTGATGATTACATCCAGAGAAATTCAACGCACAATGTAAAGACTGTCTCTCTACAGCTACACTATCAGGAACATTCTGTTTCACAAAGATACTACTGACTATTACTGAAATTAAACACAGACAACATCAGGCTCCGCCTTAATCAAGAGTTTTGACAGCTGCAGAGAAATATCTACAAAGCGAACATGTTTCCACTCTGGCAGTTCAAATAGCAGATAAGGCAATTTTCACAAATATCAGCACAAACTTGTACAGAGCACGGTGATCCAGTCACCAAAGTGAACTGGAGTAACTTTGGGCTCACTGGATGACTTCCTGATTGTTGACACCCACTGTGTCCTCTCTTGAACCATGCATCCGTATTAAATTAAGCCTAATTACGACTCTGATACGTTTGCCCATGATCTCAAACCAAGCACACACCTTGCTGCTCCTGCTGCCTGTCACCGTCTGGGTCCATAGGCATAAGAATGAGTTGGTTTGTAATTGATTTACATTAATAATTGTTTCTTTTTCTTCAATGCCATCTGTCTATCTTATCATTGCATCATGTCTCCTCTTCCCTCTCTCCCTCCATCACTGTGTAAATTTGCACATAAACAATGTTGGCATCCACTAATGCAATATGTTAAACTGTGCAGCAGTTTTTCAGTCTTAGCCAGCAGCATATATCTAATAACTGTGCTTATGACAATGTACTACTATTCAGTGTTTGTGATAAAGTTAGAGTATGTAGTATGCACTACTAGAAAAGATTGAACTATTCATCTCATTTAACAATCACGGTGTAACAAACCTGTTGACATAAGAATTTTTTTTATAAAATGTGATCTTTGTCATTGAAAAAATTAATCAAACTGTTAAAGATAAGTCTACAATTAACATTTGAGTTCATTTGAGTTTACTGTCTTAGAGTTTGTTTACATGCTAAAAAGTTTGAGTCTTTAAGTCATCAAAAGGCTGGAGGGCAAAAATAAAGGGAAAAGTATTGTGTTAAATGAAGATGGGAATTATTTTTGTTCTCTTACAAATAAAAATTAACCTTAACTCAAGCCACCTGGGCTGTTTATTGTCTGCTTCTACACAAACATCGTCTTAAACAGGCAAAACACCTACAATGTGCTGCTTTATTAGCAGGCCAAAATGCTTTTAGTTATCTCAACCTTTAGTAATGCACTTTTAGTCCATTAATTTAGTCATCTGCTTATGCTGACCAAAAACAATGTGTCTATTTCTACCCACACTTTCAAGAGGAAGGCAGGGAGGCCCAAACTGACGTGGCGTAGATGCACAGAGCAGACGTAAAATTTAAAATTAAGAAAGACTATCACTGAAACAGGAAGTTATGATGACACAAGCAAAAACCACAGCCAGCAAGGCCTTGTCTCAATGTCTGTGGTGTGGACGTATTTCAGTATATCTGAAGGACCAACGGATGGCGACCTGCAAAAACTTGTAATGTTGAAATTTCAAGAGGGGATGAAAAGTCCACTCATAGAGTCTGTCAGCATACATTTCACTGCACTTGTCACGACTGTACTTGATCTGCATTAGAAACATCATTACTTAGATGTTTTTCATAAAGCAGAGCACACGAGAAATGATGGACGTGGAGAACCTGCTTGGAGACGAAAAAGCTGGCGGGGACCCTCGTTGTCTGACATGTTCTGTGAGATCCTGACAGAGAGTTCCTCAAATAATAATAACAGGTGAGCTATTCTGTTCTGACTTCAGTGACTATCAGTTGATTTTAATTCTCTGCTTCACATTTGACATTTAATTATTTTGACAATTATTAATTAGTTATTCATTTATGAAATTGCAGTGCCTTGATGTTATTGAGCTTTAGTTCACATAACCATAAGTGCAATGGTAATAATAATTGGCATAATGAGTTATTTCAGTGTTTCTGTTTTCAGCCTTGGTTCCTTCATCATCGGTTTTCAGTGTATCCCTGGTTATTTGCTAAATAGATTTGCAATACATGGACCACCATGTTGTTTTACAAAATTTTTGCAAGTCACAAGTAAGTCTCAAGTTGCCCTCAATTCCTGAGTCTAGTCCCAAGTCGAAACTAACAAGTCTAAAGTGCAGTCCAAAATCTTGCAGCTTCACTTTCAAGTCTTTCCGAGTCTTTTTAACCAAAGAGTAAGAATATACTTACACAGATCTGCTGTCTATGCTTTTACAATCTATATTTATATATTTAACCAAATCCAAGTTAAAGGTCTAGAAAAAGAACAGAGCTGTAATTGTACTTCCTAACAGCACAACTAACTAGTCATTTTTAAACAACAGCTACAGTATATACACATAGCTTTTGGAATTGTAAGGTTGAAGTCTTTCTTGGTTCAATTGTTATTTTTTATTTTGGCAAAATTGTATCTTTTCTCATCAAATTACAGAATTAGCATAGTTTTTTAGAATATTTTTGGGGATTTTTTTCAAAGAAAATTAAAAATAGCTAAAACACAAGTTTATAACAAAAAGATGCACCAAAATGACAACATTATTTTATCTAGGGATGTCATAAAGTGACCAAATAGTCCACACTATACTATGACTTTTGCAAATAAACACAAAAAATAAAATACTCAAGAAGGGTCCCAAATTTGCATGCCATTATATTTTCCTAGTAGATCAAAAAGTGACCAAATATAACATACCTTATGATATTAACATTTTGTGGTGACTATTTATACGGTAATATCTTTTTTACATTACAAATATATTCCCCAATTTAAATTAAGTTTAAATAAGCGTTTTGCCATAGAGTTGATTTATACATTAAACACCACGATATCTATGGATTTTTATATTACAAACTATATTCATTTATATGAGGTTAACTGTAAAATCTATGGAGGTATTTCTGTTTGAATCATGAGGCTAGAATTAAGCCTCATGAATGAATACATTTCATTGATTTATGGTCACTTGCTAGTGAGTTTAGGTTCTGTCTGATTGAAATGATTTTCTCTGCCTAGTCCTTTCAAAACAGCAGCGTGGCTGACGAGGATGTGCACTGACACACTGCTGCCTGTTCATCAGGCTCCACAGCTCTGATTAAGTAGATTAACAAGACTAAATCAATCAAGGCTGTTCCTGAACTGGCATTATTGATCAGCTGCCACTTACAATGTTCCATTCTGATCACTGCGTAGATTGATTAAGCTAAGAGCTGCTGTGACAAACTGGGTAACACTAGTAACAATCTACTCCTCAGCCTTACATGACTGTCTTATCAACCACTCCTGCTAACCTTAAAAATGTGCAGAGCACAAGTGTTGCTATGGAATCAAGCACTAAATCAGCCACTATCCAGGAATACATAATGTACATTTAGTGTATGCAAAACATTAACATTCTATAGGATAACAATCTGCATAAGCCAACACCGGCCATTTGTAAATAACTGTAAAACTTTTTAACTTGTGCTTTTAGTGAACATTTAAAAAAAAAAATCCAACATCACGGCCTTCTTTACTCCAAAAGGTCCTCAGCTATTCAGAGAAAAGTCTTTGTGCTGTTTTTTTTTTTCTGTATTCAAACAAGGTCCTTTCATTGAATGCTCAATTTCTATTTGAATGTTTTTTTACTGCTTTTCCAAACTCTGCAACTTACAGAACAAAACATTTATGGCAGTGCAGGAGATGAATTTACTACTTTAACTAGGCCTCTGGTGGCATTTTATCATCCATGAAATCCTATGTTCGTTTAATGGATATATACAAGAAAGGATTTAAATCTACTGTTATAGATACTACTGTGCTCCTGGCTGAGAAATAAGGTCATATTAATACAAATGTGGCAAAGGTTTAATTTAATATTACTAAGGAGATAGACTTTAAATCGTTCTTTTATTTCTTGTAATTTGATTTCTCTATATTAGGTTTTCTGGGATACTTATGTGCTAAATACACAATTTTCAAATATGTGTATTTATTTCTCTTGATGGTGACAAATATGATAAATGAAGCAGCAATTTACTGCACATATTCACTTGGCAACATGTTTTAGGA